TTTTTTTTCTTTTTTTTTTCTTTTTTTTTCTTTTTCTTTTCTTTTTTTCGTTTCTCTTTTTCTCGTGCCCCCTGAGCGGCGCTTCTTTTTCCCTTCTTCTCTTCTTCTCTAGACAGGTTGCTATTATGGTGACTAACGCAGACCTTTGCATAGGAACAATTCGGCGTCTCGAAAATGAACTTAAGACTCTTAAATATCAAAAGAAGGACGCCAGAAAACAAGCAACTGTTCACCGTCGCCTCGTCTCCAGAGCGATGAAGCTTCGGACCACCAAGTCGAAGCAAAGAGAACGCCACAGGTCCAGACTCATTTTCCACTGCACCACGATGCGAAACTCGGCCGTTCAGAAGCGCATTGTGAAAGACTTTGAGCATCGTCAGCGCAAGTTCAAGGGCTCCAGGTCCTCCGACGCAAGTGGTGATAGAAACGATGAAGGCGTCGAGGTCATTCCCGTCAGCACGGTAGCTTTTTGGCAGCTGCAGAAGAATGAAAGGATGCCCGGCTTCCCGAGGGATGTGTATACAGGGGTCCCTCGAACGAAGAGTTGGCTGCAGGAGGCAACCCTTGGTCGACGGGAGGAGCATCTCGATTCCGTCCTAAACAGTTACGCCACGCTTCTGAATTGGATTCAACACTGGTCCCAGAGTCAGAGTGTTAAAACGAATATGGGCTTCACCAAGGGGGATGTGGAGGAAATATTGACCCCCGTCCATGAAAGGTTCCGAGAGGTATTAGAAGACTCAGCCCGCCCCATCCATACAACATTGAAGCTTCCAAGTCTAGGAGAAGATGACTGACTTCACGCTGCCCATAGCTGCTTCAGGCTCAAACTGTGGTCGGCTTCCACGATCAGATCATGGACATCGATCCACTGCGCAATAAAGACGATCTCGCTGAGATCTGCAGCAAGAAAGCCAAACGAGTTGTCGGCCGATGGCACCTCCTGTACCCCGAAAGCGAAACAAACACAACTCACATGCATTGGCAAACGTATCAGGCTAACATCCGGCGGGATGGAGGTCCTTTTGCTGGAACAAAAAGCGAATACCACTGGATTGAGCAGCTGTGAGTGTCTAGACGCTACCTTGTACTGCAAACTTCGAGGCGCGAGATGCAGCTTTTTACGAGACCCTCCTGGAGACCACTGGCTAATTCACCGTAGTGTGATCCCGGTTCTTGAACTCATCGTCGAGCAATGGGACGAGGAGTTTAATAACAAGCTACCTGCCTTGATCAAACCGATGACAACGCGAGTCAGCCTCAACTGGGATAGCTACATGAAAGAGATCTCTTCTAATCTGAAGGATCTCGATGACAAGCTACTGGGCCCCTTTGAGCGCTGTCCATCTTCATTCCAACCCATCCAGAAGAAACTTGGCGACGAGGTGCGCCGGATTCTGGGGAACATTGCCGGAGAAGCTGCGCGCTGTCGGGTCAAACTCATTAGGGACCTCCAGGATTCCATGCGTCCCATTTTTTATGAGGCACTCTCCGTCCGAGGTATGTGATCCATTCAGATAAGAATTCGCTTGGTTCCCAGCCCCTCCTTTTTTTGTCTGTCTTTCGTTTCCCGGGGCCTACTACAGAACTACTACTAACGGCCGTTTAGTAAAGGGATCGTATGCCGCCAGGAGAGGCCTCATCATGACGAAAGCTCTCCAAAATGGCATCGAGATGTTCCGTATAGCGCTGCACAAGATGGACAAAAACCTCCGTAAAGACAAAGCTCAGTTGCCGGAGAGCTTCGCATCCCTCGCGGCCACCATCTCCGAGTCGGTTCGGCTTCAACTCTCGGCGGTCTTTGAAGGCGTCCTCCCCCGGGGCACTGGAAGCAAAGAGGGCTTGAGCAAGAGAACGAAGATCCAACTACGGAAAGAGATTCAGATGCTTGTCGTCCAATGGCAGGCGAGTTGGAAGGCCTCTTGCGGCGGTCTGGAGTGGGTTGAAAGACCCGATCCTTGCCATGTCCCCAAGGACTTTGACAACGAGGAACTGGATGTTTCAGAGACATCGGGGAGTGAGACGGATCCTGGTGATCTGGACGACATGGATTTGGACACGGACAATGAAGAGTGATTTGGCTGTCGGCTGTTTATTTGTTACGTTTTATGTCGTAATGGTCTGTATTTGTGTGGAATCGGGGATGTCGATGGCATGGCATTCCATATGAACGTGGAAGGCTTCTACGACTATGTGGCCTGACGGAGTTTATTGATAGCACTCACTGCCACTCTTATGGCGCTCATAACTGAGAGAAGCACCTCAGGACACACACTGAAGAGCTTGACATAAGTGTGACATATGCCCTTCAACATCGACACCTCTCTGTCTGTCTCATCTTAGTACAAAGTAGTCCCACTTCATCAGCTATAACCACCGACAACGAACAAGAATTTAGCTCTAGCGGCGCGTTGTTCATGCCAGGGAGGAACGAATTCCGGTCGATAATATCCGTGAGGAATGCGGCGGAATCTGTGCCCACATGCAGGCCAGGCTGTTCGCAGCATTCGGCGAGCTGAACAAGTATTCGGCCTATCTGACTGAGAAGTTTGCGCCGAGTCTCTCGACAACAAGGAGTGGTCTCATTCCATTACAATGGCGTTCCTCGTATCCAGGTGGAGATGATGTACGGATATGCGATGGGATGGATTGTCCAATGCAGAGGACTATGATATAAGATTCGGTGACTATGTGGAAACTGTCTTGGTCGAGGGGTTTCAATATTACGGCCTCCTCTTCTACAGCCTGCATGATGTCCTCTGGTAGGTTACGTCTTGTGTGCAGCGGAATGCGAACTGCCCCAATGATGCCGTTTGGAAACTCGACGGTACACCCATCGTTTTCCAGAAAGCGGAACCTGTTCCGTGCCAAAACAGAATAAGGCGAGAAGGCCATCCTGGGTGAGAGAGTTGATGATGTCGAGAATCTTTTCGGGGGTAATAGGAGTCAATGGCCACACCCATTGTCGAGGCGGTGGTTGATGTCAAGAAGGTTGGGGACTTTGCAAGTCATACTGGTGTGAATAGAGCCTATTATGAAGGAATAGTCTCTTAAATCGGAGTGAGGTCGCCAAGTGGCGGAGTACTTATCGATGTGGCTCTCGTATTCAATTAATACCGTCTGTGAAATTAAACCTGCTATTGTATTCTCTAGGTTTGTTTATAGTGCCCTGCCCCTGACGCTGGCGCGGCCATTTAAACTTTAGGCTCAGAACGCGCCCCTGGGCCGGTCACCTGACCTGCCCATGACTCCGTATATTCTGGAAATTTAACGTGTCGTTAGGTAGGGACTGTCTAGAAAGCTAGAAAGGCACCGCGCGTCGTCTCTAGACGGTCCCTTCAAAATGGTTCGTGCTTTTTGTTTGAAAACAGTGAACAGTCCCCCCGGCGGGATACAGTACTAACGCCGATTTCCCCGCGAATTAGACCCCCACTTCCCCGCGTTGAGCGGCACCCCGGCCCACTTTTGCCGGACCCTAAATCTAGGCCCGGACTACCAACACCCCCGATCCGGGATCTACACTGCACGTCGTATTATATTTATATTACCCTGAAATCGTCCTAATTGAATAGGGATTGTCTCTTACGTGCAGCTTTAGTCGGAAGAACTGATCGTCGATGGGCTGGTTTGCATTCGTGCATGGAGGTTGCGGGCGTTGAGAACTTGAGTCTGTACAGTTTACCTCCAACGCCCGTCCAACAGACATCATGTGTTCTCCGAGCAGGCGTTCGTTCTCTCCCGTCCTACTAAGCCATCTTGCGGCGAAATGTCGGCATAAAAACTGAAAATTCCCTGTGCAATGCTACACTGCGTATCACTTCGATTCCTCTCGCAACGTCGAGGAAAACTTCGGTCCCCCCTCCCCTCGCTTGTCACATCTGACTGCCACATCTTCCTACTCGGCTTCTGCTTTGATTTTCCAACTCTCATCAAAATTCGGGTTGTCTCCGCTGCCATATCAACATTATCAACCACCTTGAAGGCGGAACCGTACACCGAACATGTCCTCCGAGAAACGATCCGAGGCCGGCGGCCTGGCCCCGACCAGCGCAGAACAGAAGCCAATCTCCCGGGAAGAGGATATCGGCCGAGTTAATACCATGACTGCCGACGATATGGATGAAAAGAAACCCATTGAGGACATTGGGGAAAGGGACTATACCGGCGTAGCGAGGAAGGCTGACCCCGAGGAGATCAAGATAGTACGGAAGCTAGACTGGCGAGTCATGGTGAGCTGAAGCATCTGAATAATGAACCTTCTGTACTTCCTCAACTATGTAGATAGGAATGCCATCCCTCAGGCACGTCTGAATGATCCCGAAGAGGACCTCGGAATGACTGGGACACAGATCAGCACAACAGTCTCCGTGTAAGACGACCGTCATAGATTCATAGCCCCAAACCCCAAGAAAACGTCGCTGATACTCTATTTTAGTTCTATCCCGGCGGGACCTACATGCTATCCATCTTCTACACGAGAAGAGGTATGTTCATGTTCTGCCAGTGCCGCCAGTCACTCAACCGCCAGTTAATAAACTAGCCCCTAAAACAGAGGTAGCAGCTCGCATTGCCGTGCTTTACTGTGCCCAAACTCTAGCCACGGGGTTCTCAGGTGTTGTAGCCGCCGGTCTCTTTGCCGGGTTGGACAATGTTCGCGGTCTTCAGGGCTGGCGATGGTATGAGCACGCATCATATCACGATATCCCCACTACTTTCTATTCTTTTTTCCCCTCTTCCTTCTTAAATAGCACAGTATTATTTGCATGACGAGACCTAACAACTGAACACTGCACTTCCCAGGCTCTTCCTTCTCGAAGGCGCAACCACGGCCGTGGTGGCTTTCCTCGGTTTCTGGCTCCTCCCAAACACGCCCCTGACAACGCGCTGGCTGAGCGAGCGTGAGAGGAATCTCGCCCACAGACGCATGGAGAAGGACAAGGTATCAGATGCGCTGGCCAACAAGGCATCTGCCCTGGACGGACTCAAACAGGCCTGCCGGGACAAGCGCACATGGTTATTCGTTCTCATGCAGTATTTCCACTTGTCTGCCTGTTCCTTCAACAGTTTCTTCCCGACGGCCGTATACGTGCCGTTATAACCCGACATGGTCCATAGACGAAAGCCACGAAACCAATGCATGTCTACAGTCTGCTAACTAACTGGGTAATATGCAGCGTCGTGCGCACTCTCGGCTTCGGCACGACCGTCACTCTCCTCATGACTTGCCCTCCCTTCATCATCGCCGGCGCGGCGGGCATCTTCTTCGGCTGGAGCTCGGGTGGGCGTCCTCTATGCTCTCACAGACTGTTGAGAAGAAGGCGGTATGCTCATATTTATTCGTCCAGTAACCTGTGCTCCCTTCTTGCTTCATGTTGTTCTGCCCCCCTGGGTACAAGAGAATTAACTCATCTGATGGCTGTTCCGTTCAAGGTCGTCCTTGCCCTGACAAACGTCGGAGGCCAGGTCGGCTATATCTACGGCGCATATCTCTGGCCCAAGAGCGACGAGCCGCGTTACGGTATCGGGTTTGGTGCGTCGGCCGGCTTTGCTTTGGCGTCCATGTGCTGTGCCTGGGTCATTCGTGTCCTCTTGATTCGGGAAAATAAGCGACCTGGACTCAAGGCCAGTGCTACCAGCGAGCACGTCAACTTGTACGGGTACTAGCCCATTGGGATTTTTCTAGTATCTCATGGTGTGATGAACATTGAAGATGAAGTTTGCTATTCAGGTCGGGGTGGTTTGAGAGAGAGGAGGACGACAAGGACGAGGGAACGTTGGGAGAAAGAAACATATATCGATTAATATTAATATACCTGTGCTACCTATTTAGGCAACTCCGCTAATTGGACGGACTGTCTTGTCCGTCGGAGAGTATTACTCCGGAGTCCGGGCAGAGTGGATACATACAGCCCGGGGAATTTTCGGTTGGCTCGGTCCTGACGTCCGCTCCTGTCATCGTCATTCCGTCCTCCTATAACATTATTCGTATCCTGACATGACACCAAGACGCACTACGTACTTCGCACAACACCATCAGCATACCTCCAGCGGCCAGCCCCAGGAAGGCGACGGCGAGCGCAAATTCGCAATATCCTACTGTCCGCCACGACTCACGACTTCCAAATCCTCACGCATCACAGCGGCGGCCATTTGGTTACTGGTAGCGTACCGCAGTTGAGGCCCGAGGGACTCTGTTGGCTGTCATGTCACAAACTGCCACCATCACCCGCCCGCCAACTGTTCATACTCTCTCCGGCAAGGGAACTACGCCAGATGCCTCTGGGACAGATGGCATAGAGCTGGACAGGCTCTCGAGCGGAAACTCAGACGAGAAGAGGGACGTGTCGTGTTTCGATTCCAGCGGCCGCAGCGACCACAAGGTAGCGACTGCCCGAGACGGTTCTATGGAGGAATCGGGAGTCCCTAGTCCTACAGGCCCACCGGGAGGCCGGATAGCCCATGGGGAGGTTGAGAGGTGGAATTATCCTCGCGGTAATGTTCTCAGGCTTGCATTTGCTTTTCTGACTTTTATTATTGCCGGCATGAATGATGCCGCTGTTGGTGTGAGTGCAGGTTCACCGCGGCCCCCCTTTTTCCTTTCTTTTTTTTATTTATTGTTTAGAGAGGAGCAGATAAATGAGAAAGACTGACCTAACCACGTCCCTAGGCCTTGATCCCTTATGTGAGTTCATGAATTCTCTCAAACATGATGGGGGAGCATATGCATCAGACTATTCCAGGAGGCCACGCCCCCCTCTGACACCTGACACCTGTGCTCCCACTCAACACCGGCCCCTTCTAACCCAGTCCCAGCTCGAAGAATACTACGACCTCAACTACACCACCGTCTCCCTCATCTTCCTTACCCCCTTCGCAGGCTACTCCCTCGCCGCAATCACCAACGCCCGCATCCACGTCGCCCTGGGCCAGCGCGGCGTCGGCGTCATGGCACCCCTCTGCCACATCGTCACCTACACCGTCATCGCCGCCGCCCCGCCCTTCCCCGTCGTGGTGGCCGTCTCGGCCATCAGCGGCTTCGGCAACGGCCTCGCCGACGCCTGCTACTGCGCCTGGGTCGGCGCCATGGACAAGGCCAACCAGATCCAGGGGTTCATGCACGCCTGCTACTCCCTCGGGGCTCTCTTCGCCCCGCTCATCGCTACCTCCATGGTCGTCTCCGCTGCCCTGCCCTGGTATACGTACTACTACCTCATGATCGGCCTGTCGGCCGTCGAGTGGGTCGGCTTGACCGTGACGTTCTGGCGCAAGACGGGCGCTGTGTATCGGGCGGGGCACCCGCGGGATGCTGATGCGAAGGGGGCGGGGACGAAGGATGCCGTTAAGTCTAAGGCTACTTGGCTCTGCTCTCTCTTCTTTTTCACATACATGGGTGTCGAGGGTATGTACTATTCTCTTTCCCCCCTTTTTTTCTTCTCTCCCCCCCCCCTTTTTTTTTTCTTCACCTCTCCCAACCCAGCTAACGTCCCCCTAGTCGGTCTCGGAGGCTGGGTCGTAACATTCATGCTCCGCGTACGAGACGCGAGCGCCTACGCATCGGGAATCTCAGGCTCCGGTTTCTGGGCCGGCATGGCCGTGGGCCGGGCGGCGCTGGGGTTCGTAACCGAGCGGTTCGGCGAGCGTCTCTGCATCAGCATCTACCTCGCCTGCTGCCTGGCGCTGCAGCTCCTCTTTTGGCTGGTGCCGCAGTTCGTCGTGTCGGCCGTCGCTGTCGCCTTCCTGGGCTTCTTCCTCGGTCCCATGTTCCCCGGCGCCGTCATGGTCACCGCCAAGCTGCTGCCCAAGGACGTCCACGTCAGCGCTATCGGGTTTGCCATGGCCATTGGCGGCACGGGGGGGACGGTTTTCCCTTTTATCATTGGTGCGATCGCGGCTGGTCGTGGCGTGTGGGTGCTGCAACCTATTATTTTGGCGCTCATCGGCGTGGTCGCCGTTGTATGGTTCTTGTTCCCTAGGATCAAGAAGAGGGACGAAGAAACTGTAGATGGTGCCACCCAGACAGAGACATTGTCGTCTTGAGTGGTCGTTGGTTTGACCACTTGTTTTGTCTATGATAAACTACTATGATGAAATGAAGAATTGAAAAGTTCCGGATACAAACGCCTTTTTGTTTTGCTTCCGTCCATCCATTGCTGACCCCAATATGGTCGGCAGTCTATATGTTACATTGGGCCAGGCGAAACCCGGCTTTTCCTCCCTTTATTCCCGTACAAATACGCCTGCCATGCCCATTCCAGTACCCACACACATGCTGACGACGCCGACCTCGCCACCGGAGCGGCCCAGGCCATGGAGCAAGGTGCTCGTCATGCGCGCGCCAGTGGCGCCCAAGGGGTGACCCAATGCGATAGCGCCGCCGTCCGGGTTCACGCGACCCTCCTGCCAGGCCTTCTCCAAGCCGAGGGCACGTAGGGTGTAAATAGACTGAGAGGCGAAAGCCTCGTTGATCTCCCAGCGGTCCACATCCTCGTTCTGCAGCCCCAGCTGGCCCAGCAGCTTGGGGATGACGACGGCAGGACCGATACCCATCTCGTCGGGCCGGCAACCGGCCGTGCCAGCGGCGACGAACTTGCCGATGATGTTCCCGGAGAGACCCAGCTCGGTGGCCGTGCTCCGGCGCATCAAAAGCGCGGCCGCCGCGCCATCGGACACCTGTGACGAGTTACCGGCCGTGCTGGCACCATCGGGCTTGAAGGCGGGCTTGAGCTTGGCGAGGCCCTCGACGCTGGCGTTGGCGCGGATGCCGTCGTCGCTGGTGACGGTCACGGTCTGTTCCTCGCCGACCTTGTTCCCTTGCTTGTCGACCTCCTGGAACCGCGTGCGCACGGGCACGATCTCCCGGGCGAACGAGCCGTCCTCGCGCGCCTTGGCGGCCCGGCGGTGGCTCTCGACGGCGAAGGCATCCTGGTCCGCCCGGGAGACGCCGTACCGCTCAGCGACGTTCTCGGAGGTGAGGCCCATGGGCATGATGCAGTCGCGGGCGTCCTGGACGGGGGAGTCGCGCAGCTCGGGCCAGAGGTCGACGGGGATGGCCTTGCTGCCGTAGTTGCGGGTCATGCTTTCCATGCCGGCGCCGATGCCGACGGAGATCATGTCGGTGCGGATCTGCGAGGCGATGAGGGCGATGGACTGGAGGGAGGACGAGCAGGCGCGGTTGACTGTGTAGAAGGAGGTGGTGTTGGGGTAGCCGACGTGGTTCATGGCCATGCGGCCGGCCTTGGAGCCTCCAAGCTCGGAGAGTACGACACCGACGGCGACATCGTCGATCTTGGAGGGGTCGAGGTTCGGGTTGGCGTCGAGGGTGGCTCGAAGGACCACGGACAGGAGCTCCTCCGGGTACGCGTCTTTCAGCTGGCCACGGTAGGAGCGGCAGATTGGTGTTCGTAGGGAGGACAGAATGACGACATCGGACGGGTTCTTCTTGAGGACCGCGCATAGACCCCGTGGGAGGGACATCTTTGGCGGTGGGAGGGTCCGAGGGGATCTGCGATGGGACCGAGGAGGAGGTCGTCGGGTAGAGTCGATGGATGTCCGCCAAAGGAAGTGCGAATGTGCGATCCTATAAAGGCGAAATAGGTATCATGGAACACCAGAATAACGAAGGAAAAAAGAAGAGAAAAAAAAAGAACAAAAAAGGAGAAAAAGTAAAACGGAAGAAGAAGAAGAAGAATAACACGGGTGAGTTTGTAAGAGGGGGGTTTAGAGGATGAATACTTTTCCACTTTGTTCCCGATGTTGTCCAAAGCCGAAGCCACAGCCGCTGTGGGGGCGTGTGGGGGTGGCACTTGGAGTCGGCATTGTGCGGGGAAGTCACGGGTATTGGCACGTGGGCATCATTGACAGGTCACGTGTTCGCTCGCCAAGTTCTCTGGCCAACTCCGACTCCGAGTTCTAATGTCCAACCCTCCATTTTCAACATCTCCCCCCTTCTTACCGTCCCAAGACTCAACGGTTTACAGTGAATTTCAGAGTAAATCACAGCTATGGGCCTCAATCCGTTTCGTAACCATCTCCACCGCCATGTCGTCGCCTCCATTCGGACCATTCCCGGAGAAATCCCTCTCGTGACTCGTCCTCGACTTCAAAGTTCATGGTCGCCCAGAGTCCCAGACCCTGGAGCCTGGAGGCTTGCTGCTTGTGTGACGAGATACTGCCTTTTGGTGCCCAGAACTGACACGAAGAATGAGGGGTGAGCATGCAGCATCATCGGAGTCATTACGCCAAAGACCGATGAAGAACTCGACCAGCCGCAGATGCATCATGCATTCTATAATCTCTACTATGCCTCCGACGCCAACCATGTGTTCCGGTCAATCTAATTATCTCTCAGCTATGCCGTCCCATTAGCCAACTTTCCCTCCTTGAGGACATGTGCAAAAGCTTCATCCAAAATCCGGATGCCCTCCTCAATCTCCTCCGGCGTGACCGTCACCGGCGGCGCCAGGCGGAAAACGCCTCCCATGCCCGGCAAGTTGACAATGTTACACGACAAGCCCAACTCCATGGCACGATCCGAGACGGCATGTCCGATATCCGTGCCGGGAGCCCGTGTCGTCACATCCGAGATGATCTCGATACCCTGGAGCAAGCCCTTCCCCCGGACGTCACCCACGCACCAGTACTTCTCCTTCAGCTTCAAGAGACCGGCCCGCAGCTGCGCCCCCCGCTCGGCCGCCAGTCCGCACACGTCATCCCGCTCCACAATCTCGAGCACCTTATTCCCCACCGCCGCCGTAAGCGGGTCGTTGATATGGGTCGTCAGCCACAGGAACCCAGCCTCCCGGCACCCGCGCTCGATCTCGGCCGTCGTGCACACCGCCGCGAGGGGCAAGCCGCACCCCAACGTCTTGGAGAGCGCAAGGATGTCGGGCACCACGCCGCCGCCCTCCTCCTCGTGCTGGAACGCGAACATCTTGCCCGTCCGCCCCACGCCGGTCTGCGCCTCGTCGAGGATGAGGAGCATGCCGCGCTTCTTGCACTCCTCGCTCATGCGCCTCAGGTACCCCGCCGGCAGGTCGAGGATGCCGCCCGTCGAGAGGATGGGCTCCATCACAAAGGCCGCCAGGGACCCCACGCTCTGCCGGTCGATGAGCGACCAGCCGTACTCGAGCTCCGCTTCCCAGTCGTACGACCCGCCGTCATCGGGCTTGCGGAACGGCGACCGGTAGGCGTACGGCGCGGGGAAGACCAGGTGGCCCGGCATCGCGGGGCCGCCGTGCTTCCGGCCCGCCGTGTAGGTGGCCGAGCCCGCGCCCTGGGTCAGCCCGTGGTAGCTGGCGGAGAAGGCGACGATCTCGAATTTCCCCGTGTAGCACTTGGCCATCTTGATGGCCGCCTCGATGGTCTCCGAGCCCGTGTTGAGGAAGAAGGACTTTTGCAGCGGCCGGGGCAGGAGGCGGCCTAGCCGCTCGGCGAGGTCGACCACCGGGTGCGTGATCATGTTGCAGAGGAGGTGGTCGAGCTCGCCGATCGAGTCCCTGACCACTTGGACAATCTCTGGGTGGGAGTGGCCCAGGAGGGAGCTCATCTGGCCCGACGTGAAGTCGAGCATACTATTGCCCTCGGCATCGTAGAGCCTGGTACCTTGGGCTTTGGTGACAATGATGGGGGAGTAAGGCACGCCGGTCTTGAGGAGATATTCGTCGCTGCGAGACCAAAACGACGACTCCTCCGAATCAGAAGACATGACGTCTGATGGATGGTATAGATTTGGGAGAGGCACGGCTTTGAAAAGAGATTATAAACCCCCAACACTTCTGATACTGCTGAAGGAAGCAGAGAACGTATTCTTGAAGCTTCGTGAAGGTCTGAGGGATGATGTGAGGTGCATATGATGATATGGGCGGGCATATATAGTCCGCTGATACCACATGCACGTTGACCAGACTGAGCATTCCCCGCGGCCAACAGAAGTCGGCTTATCTCACTACTCTCGTTGGCGGGAATATCGTCCATGGCGGGGCCCATAGGGGGCAGATGCGCTGTAGTCACGACTCACGAAGCTAGCCTTCGTAGCTTGCCCGCGGGGAACTCTCCATCTCCTTGGCCGCGGAAGCCAGCAGAGACCCAGCTCCCCCCCCTTTTACCATAGTCGTCATTTGTTCAACCACTTCGTCATGGGCGGCAGCTAGTGATCAAAAGGAGTAAAAAGGCGGATAAACAGGTCGAATGTCCAGTCTTCGTGTTAACATCGGTGTCAGGGGCCTCAACATTACTCGGGAGAAGCAAGTAGATAGGATATACTGTATACTGCCAGTACAGGGGCACAAAGCGCTGTCTACTTGTCAATAGAACAAGATGCATCTATGCCCTGTATCTACAGATTATCCATCCATCTTTTGGTGCGATCATCTTCAACATTATAGCAACTACACATCAGTCTACAGAGTCCACTCCCAGACTCCCAGTCTTCGAGCGCAAGGAATTAATTTCAAGACATGAACTATCCATTCCAGAACGCGCCCTTGACTTTAGCCTTGGCCTTTACGCAACGGTCTTGTGCTCGACAGCCGCATCCTGCTTCTGGACTTCATTCTTCATGATAATCGCACGATCGTTGTTCTTCTTGCTCCGGTCCGTGCTGACGGTGCACGCCGCCGCAATGGTAGCCAGCGCACCGAAGGCGATGGCAACCAGGTACACCAGGCTGAAGCCCTTGACGTAGGCCTCGCGGGCAGCCTCGACGGCGCGGTCGACGAGGTCCGGCGTGGCGCCCGCGACCGCCGTGTAGGCGGCCCGTGTGTTGACGACAGCCGCGCTGGTGAGGTCGCTGAGGAGCGTGTCCGAATAGGGCACGTCCGAGGCCTCGATGGCGGCCGTCAGCTCGGCGGGGAGCACTTCGTTGAAGCGGTTGGAGTAGATGGCCGTGTAGATGGCTGTGGCCACTGCGCCGCCGAAGAGACGGAACGTTCCGGCAAGACCGACGGCGACACCCCTGGCAAGAACGTGACATGTTAGAACCAAGCTCGTCAGGACTGAAGAATAATAAAATAAAAACAGAAGAAAATTGAAAAAAGGGGGCACTGGGGCGGTTGGTTGAGAGCGTACATGTCAGCTTGGTCCTCCAGACCGAACGACAACATGGTGAAAGAGAGAAGTTGAGGCGGCGTAATGGTCATCGCAGCAATCACCACAGTGACGATGGCCTGGGCCTTGTCGTTGGCGCCTACAGATGCCATGGACCCGATGAGGGCCGTCTGGACCACGGTGAAGGCAACGAGCTGCCACTTTTCGTTGTGGAGGCGGGAGCAGATGAAGACGACAATCAGACCGGCAGCTAGTTGGGTTAATACTCCGTTAGGTTCATGTTTTCTTCATATTCATGTTCTGTTCTTTTTACTTTTCCTCTCGGAATATTCATCACTTACACCAAGTACCGCAAGAGAAAATGATGGCGTAAACACCTCGCATGATAATCTCGTCCTCGGGGATGAAGAAAGCTTGCGCCTGGCGAGGCCAAAGCACGTTCATGCTATAGTAGAGCATACCACCAACAAAGCAGACGACGATGACCATGTCGAACCTGGTTCTGGTCAGTCAAGTCCCCAGTGACACCAAGTGCCATAAAAAAAAACAGCACAGGGGCTCACTTACTCTCGGACCCTCCTGAACAGCTTGGGCGGGAACAGCGGGTATTTCAGGTCGGCATAAGCACACCAGAAACCGACAGCGATGAAGCAGCATCCGCCAATGATAATGGGTGCCAACGTCCCAGGATGTGTCCAAGGGTAGGTACGGCCGCCAAAGTTCACGCCGATGAGGAAGAGGGCACCGCCGCAGAGGAAGAGGAAGACGCCAACCCAGTCCATCTGCTTGACGAGCTGCCACTTGGTCTTACCATCCTCGCGGTGCTTCATCTCAAAGTCGGGCGGGTTGTAGAAGAAGAATAGCATGACGAAGGCGAAGCAGTGGAAGGAGAACAGGTACCAGTAGGCGCCCCGCCAGCCGATGTCCTGGTAGGCGATGAAGGCGTAGCTGATGACGGGGCTGGAGAAGGCGAGGGCCAAGCTGACGTCCAGGCCGCCGACGGCAACGATGCGGTACCGGTTAGGCACAACTTCCTGCACGCAGGCGTAGCAGAGTTCCTGGAAACCGGAACCGATACCGAAGAGCGCGCCGGAGGCGATCATCTGGTTGATGCTTTTGCCGTTGGCACCGACGAGGCAGCCGGCGATGGAGATGAGGGCGCCCGTCATCATGAAGTAGCGCCGGCCGAAGATGTCCGAGAGGCGACCGCCGATGGAGACGATGAGGGAGGCGCCGAAGGTCCAGTTGAGGGTGATCCAGGTCGAGTTGGGGTCGGGGCCCAGCTCGGCGTTGATCCAGCTGAGCGTCGTGGCGGGGATGAGCATGGACATGATGTAGGCGTTGATTTGACCGCACATGGCCTGAGCGAAGAGCCGGGAGTTAGCCGAGCCAAATTCTTAACAAGAAGATATCAAAGACCACCATAGGTGAGGACGTACGATGTAGGCCAGGATGACCTCTTTGGTGAGCTTCCCGGAGTTGGGATCCTCATCCGAGGACACGGCGAGAGTGGCATGTTCAACCTGATTCTGTGTCTCCTTCTCGCTCGTGATGTAGCCGTCCGAGTCGGAGCTCTGCTGAGGCGGAGCTGGAGCGATACCCATTGTTGCGGCCTTGTCTGGGACTGTGGGCTATATGTGTGTGTTGACTAGACAGCTCGTAGGGGGAAAGGAATCAAAGGGGGGAGATAACCAATATTGTCTGCAGCCTGTATCCTGTGCTGCTATAAGTTATAACAGACGGTTACAGACCTCCCTCGGCTTTCGAGCTGTCAAGATCAATGTCTGAGGCTCCTGAGGCTAGGACTGACACGGTGACACCGTCGAGGACGATCCAATGCAAATAACTCCAAAACATGAAGGGAATCTGGGTCTTATTAGTAGCTAAGCAACACAAGGTGGCCCAGCGACTTGGATCCTTTGATTCCTTTCTCTCTACCCCGATGTGGACTCGTCACTCGTGGAGGGTAGCTAGGAGACTAGGTTGGTGCATCAGCATACTGGCCCCAGGCCACCAACCCCAGATGATCCAGATCCACCGTCCCCAGCCTCCGGGAGCACATTTCCTTGCTGATCAAGTTATCTTCCGGGATGAGCTGTGGTCCGGGGAGGTCGCCACTCGCCAGGGAGACAAAACATTTGATCAAATCTTACAGGAAGTGGTAATGCGGGCCTCGGGACTCGGACTCCTGCATGCATGTCATGTCTGCGAGTTCTGAGTCTGGGGTCTATTGGATAATTAGTCCGTACATGTATCGTGAACGAGATGGTTATCCCGCAAGCCTTGTCACCGCCATCGTTGCGTCCATCTGTCTGCACGTTGCAAATGGTAGTCTCTGCAGACTCTACACTTCGCCCCATGTCGTCTGTGCGGCAACGGCGTCGGTGCCACCGCCATTCCCCTTGCCGGCCGGCAAGCTTTCTACGTGCGCCTTTCCCGCTTGGAAGCCGGCTTGTCCCTTTCCTCGACAAGTCTTGACCATCAGTTAATTAGTGGCTCTGGCCCCCCCTGGATCGAATTTTCCCCCAGCTTTCCGGCGGGCGTCACCCCGCACAATCTGGGGATAGTGGGAGTTGCAAGATCCGTCCAAATACTGGTTAAGCCTATTGAGGTTACAGTCGTGGGGCCTCTGAGCTGCCACTCCAATGGTCCGGCGTAACACTAACAAGGATAGGCGCGGGAGTTGAATGATTCAGTATTGTGTACATGTAGGCTTTTGCGCGGGGATGGTGTTGTTTGCTGATCCGCAAAAGGTTTCCCGAAGACGGGGGGGTTGGCTCAGGGGTAACTTGAGCAACTTATACGGAGTAGCCTGTAGCCTGTGCCCTACGCCACGCACCAGGGAACTGTGTTCCGGACTGAGGCTCTTCGGTATTCTCATTATTCTCATCTTTCTACTTCGTATTCTGCCGACATGGAGCGCACGAAGGCTTTGTATGTGTCACAATATCTACATGTAGGCCAGAATGGTTTTTACGCCCAATTATACCTCTACCTCACAGTGTAGCGACCCGCCGTCGAGATGAAGTATAATATTGTATTGGTGGCGATAGAGACTGAGAGATCTGCCGAACGCAATGCTCAAAAGCCTCCAGCCCTCAGAAGGTCAAACCACATATATGATATGCAAGTCCCAACGACGATCCGTCAGCGGTCAAGCTTCCCATGTGCCCATAATTCCCACAGTTTCCAAGCTGGGTATTGCCTTCAAAAGTTCAATCTCCTTCCGAAATCTAGGCGAGGACGCCCGCGAAGGATATGGCGGATAAGATATCCCGTGCCTTGCCAAACGTGTCACAACGTCAACTCGTCACATACCAACGTCAGCACGTTGCAACCCCAGGGGGCCCCCCTGATCACATAATAGGGAGGGAGGGACAAGACACCTGAGCTCGCTAAGACGGGTGATTCTGATTTCATACCTATCCTGTTATTCATTCCCCCAAGTGTAGTTTCTCCGAAGCCACTCCCACCAAAACCTCCGTAACCATCTTAGTGGGAAAAACGCCACTGGAAAGGAAAATGACAAGGGTCGTCGTCTTCGGAGCTTCAGGCGTGCAAGGAGCCGCCCAGGTGGCCGCCCTCGCCCGCACCGGCCACCATCCCGTCGCCGTCAGCCGGAACCCCAAACCCCTCGCCATCGACGGGAAACCCATCGAGACGTTCGCAGCCGACTTCACGGACGAGCCGGCCATCTCCCGAGCCCTCGAGGGCGCGGAGGTCATCTTCCTGAACCTGCCCTCGACCTCCTTCCAGGCGGCTGGTCCCGTCTTGGCTGGTGCTCGCGCCGTGGCGTCCGCGGCCTCCCGGACGCCGTCCGTGCGGCTCGTCGTCTTCAACACGAGCATGCCGGTCCCGGAGGAGAAAAGGGGCATCAAAGCCCAAGACGACCGCGTCGACATCCGCCGCATCCTGCGGGAGGAGGCCGGCCTCCCCGTCATTTCCATCCAGCCCGTCGTCTTCCTCGACAACCTGCTCGAAGGGTGGGCGTACCCGCCCATCGCCGAGCGGTCTACCATCGTCTACTGCCACAAGCCCGACCTCGAGGTGTCGTGGATTTGCCACCACGACGTCGCCCAGCTGATGATTGCCGCCATGGACAAGCCGCACCTGGCAGGCCGGAACATTCCTGTCGGAGGGCCCGAGACCGTGCGGCTGGAGCGGTTGGCCGAGAAGCTCTCCCGCGCGTGGGAGCGCCCCTTGGCGTATGAGAACCAGACGGTCGACGACTTTTGCGCGAAGATCAGCGCGTCCATGCGTGAGAGGGCGGGCATCGACGCGGATCGCATCATCACGCAGATGCACAAGGCTTACACTCACTACAACGAGTCTCCCGAGAAGCCGTTCAAGATTGATATGGGCCCCGTGCTGAAGGAGTTGCCTGTTACTCTAACCCCTATCGAGGAGTGGGGGAGGAGGACCAAACACAGACTGCCTGATTCTTCCAGGGAAACATAGGTTCCAAGACTCCACGCATTCTTGTTGAGAGGCTGAATTGCAGTTCTTACGGTATAGTTCTCATGCTTCACACTATAGGAGGTATACGACGCAATGTGGATGACAATGAGAGCCTTAGCCGAGTTAAAGCAGACCACGCATGAGATGCGGGCGGCAGGGATGAGGAAGACGTTACCAGAGCTATATATGTGACGTTAGGAACATTGAATCTAGTAGCAGCGGCAGTCAGTGTCCGAGAACTATTGTCCTGACTTTGAAATTAGGTGATCTCTCACCGCACAATTGTGGTCGTGGCTTGATCTAGCAAATAAGGTATATCTTTTCTTGTGGTAATTCTCCGTCTGAGGCTGGGCAGTTGATTATCACATGCAAGGCTTGTAGTTCTGTCCCAACAACTGTTTGACTAGGTCGCAGACTCTCGGTGGTCATCAAGTGGCATTCGGGTACTCCATCTTTCTGAAACCACGATGTCGTCTTACCACAGTCTTTCATTCTTATAGAGTTTTAAGAGCCTCCTGGTACCGTGTAAGACTAGACTGAGCATCATTATCCCTGAACTGCCCCTTCCGAGCAAAGCGGCCCGAGACATAGTAAGCAGAAGAGCTGGACGCACCATACCCAGATGAACGCCGTAAGCCCGCCACACCTGGTCTCAGTTCTCAGAACATATGTGTATGATACATCAACAGGCGGATGTCAGGTATGAAAGAGTTACATACCAGTGCCAGAAACCAAAGGTCAGGCCATGGTCCTCCAACTCCCCTGCAGAACAGAAGCAGAAACCAGCGTAGTCGCAAGCAGGAACGACGGGGCTATAAAAGCGGTTGTCTTTCAAGTCCCTCGGACGGATAGTTCGTTCGACACCCACGGTGCGTCCATGCGACATAAGTCTTGGCCTTTTGGGTGCTATTGAACGAACATGAATTCGAGGAGTTCCTGTGTTGGGAGAGTGATCTCGATAATAACATGGCGGAGAGAAGAGTAAAAAGAGCACAGGAAACCATCTTGCCCAGTTCCCGGGCGGGGTCACCCTGTTTCTTGTCTTCAAAACTGCTTGATGTGCATGTTGAGGAAGAACTCAGGCCAGTCGGCTGCGTAAGATGATAGCGATTTCTCCAGGGCGAATGGCAGTGAGCCACGACCAGGCGCGGAACTGAACCCGTCCAAGGAGTCTGGTTTGACCCAGATAGTCCTCCGCGAACTAATCGTGTGAGGCGGGTGAGGCTCGTGTCCACTGTGCTGGAACACCGCCTTCATCTACACCAGGCATAGGATAAACGTTTGGTAGAGACCGTATCGATAGTTGCAACTGCTGTCGGGTGCGCGGTACATGACCTATTCCATGAGAAGGGTCGGCCTCGAAGGCAGGCTGAGCGTAAATGTAAGTCTGGGTCGGATAAAGCCAGCTCCTGGATACGCTTTATCCTATCAGTTTACTTTGGTTCAACCTGTGAATGCAGATGGGCTTAGCTGCCAGGCACCAAACGTGCTGTCGAATCTCGGGGACAAGCTGTCCAAACTAAGAGAACGACCTAGGATGCTTCTGGGGAAGTAGAAACGACATGCATCCGGACAACAAGCAAAGTCGGAGACCTGTGTCGATTTTCGGGTGTCTTATTGTTTGCAATGACAGTGGTAGTTCTAGAGTTGAACGTATGGCTTGGTGCTTGTGCAATGAATAGTTGTAGAGAAGAAACCACTAAGCTGTGATGTCGGAAGACGAAAAGAAAAGGCAGTGATATCTTGAGTTTCTGTGCCTAGAAGGCTAGAACAAGTCGAAAGAAGCATCTTAGGCTGGTTCGAGCATGGCAGACCCAAGAACATGAACTATATGCCGCAAAAGGGAGGAAGGAACGTTCTTGGAGATAGAAGGAGCTTAATGTAAGTTACGTAACTGGCTCTTAGGGTGCAGACCGTGTAGGTAAAGATACAAGAGTGTGACGGGGAAAGCAAGGGGTAAAGTATGGGCATATGCAATGGTATCATAAGAGGTAAGAATGGTACAGCGATATGTTTTAATGCCTGCCTGAATACTATATAACTATTAATGTGCGAATGAACCAAGTACGGCATAGTTGCTTACACTTGGAAGTCTACTTGCTAAGGCTCAAGTGACTCTAGGCAGACTGGAACTATGCCTAGTGATCAACATTATTTCAATGTCACGTTTAGAAACCGATGATGAACAGAGGATTCCGCAACGAACGCTATTTCCTTATCGAAGTAATGTCCCCGGCTGAATGAATTGAACCATCTGATAATATATTACTACTTTGGCGGAGTTTTGTCTTTTGGGTCGAGTACCGTAGTATGTACCGCCGTTAAAGTCAATGTCCGACTATGTATCTAGATCGACGGACGTTGTCGGTGTCAACCCGGCAATAAGTCCCGGATTTCGAGTGAACTTTACGCCAAAATGGACCGGAAGATGGGCCTTTCGAAGAGTCAGGCGGCATACGCAAAGGACGGAGTGCATGTCGGATTTTTGACGCGGGCCGGCGATTGTCTGGGAGGACGAAGTATTCGTATAAGTCCGATCGGAGTGGACCAAAGGCCCGAACAACGAAAGGAAGCTGAGAAAGGATGAATTCGGAGCTTTTCTTTTACGAATACGTACGAGGTATCCATCCGTACGAATAAATATGGGGCGTTGGTTAAACGAAATTAGGGTGTGCGACTATCAGAAGTAAGGGTACGTAGCTGCATATAAGCAGACACAAAGACATGTCTTAGATCGCTTAAATCGGGCTCAGGCCAAAGTCCGGACCCATCCGGATGACGAATTTGGATAGGTTTTGGGCTCTGACACGCTCTGTCGCTGTTCGACACGATTTCTCAACCGTGTGGAAGGTCTGATGCCATCAGGCATGACCCTGCGAAAGGAAAGCGCCAGAATAGTCATCAGCTCCTATTGGTGATGGTCGTATCTCAAGGTGACGCGAAGGTCATGAACGGTCGATGACAAACACACACGCGCGCACGCACTTGAACTTGGCGAAATCGTTTACTTTTTATTCATGCAGTTCTTGTTATGTAGGTACAGGTAGGTAGTACAACGTGCTGACGGATGGGATTTCAGGGTCCAGAGCGCAATGCCTACCTTACCTAGGTAGGTAGGTACGGTACTTTGTATGAAAATGTCAATGTATCCGAATGTACGGTCGGGCCTGAGTCGCGGCGTTGCATTTGGTAGCCAAGAGGTGCAAGTACATAGGAGTACAACGTATGCATCATCCGGATGCTTTCTTGTCGCTGACTTGTCAAGGCGGGACGGGAAGAATCCGGAATGGTGACATCGTGGCAGGAAGCGAGATTTGTATCATTGACCAACCGCCTTGCCTACAGGTAGGGCCGTTGGGCTATCGTTGGTACATAAAACTGCGTCCTGTCCTGCAGCATAATCAGAAGTGCAAATAAAAACCCGTAGCTTCTGAAAAGCGAATCCTAATCTACCTAGGTAGCATAAAAAGACAACGACGTATTCGTAGGTACGGAAGGACCTTGTACAACGTAACTACGTACCTAAGGTACTTTGTAATCAAGTCTTACGGCTGCGGATAAACGGTTTGATTCAGATGTCCCCGGGGTTTCGGGTCGGGTTGCTGTAAGGCCCCGAGAGGACCCACCCTGGATGTGAGACTCGCAGTGGAATTAGGTATTTACGATCCAAGATTCAAGATCCAAGATCCGAAAGGATCGTGCGAATAGCCCAATTCGGCCGATTATGTCAGCGCCGTTGTATCCGTACTTCGTAATTACAACTGTAGTCTAATAATGCTCGGATACGATGCGAGCAGAAACGTCTTTTCAGGGTCACCCTCCTTTGTACCTATCTATGTCCCAAGTAATCTGCAGAAATAGGCACTTTTCTGTCGGTTCTCTTTAGAGCCCAAGGTACGTCTCGATGTAGGTGCATCAAAGTGTTTGAGTTAAAATCTGGTGATAGCTACGAAGTACGAATACTTTGCTAATTTAGAGAAAGGAGTCGTCTTAATAGGATTTATGCTTGGGGAAGACGGGAAGGCGTGGGGGCTGAAAAATTACAGTGGGGTAGAAAATCGCCAACTCCACTGGTTCTCGGAGAGAATCAAGACGCCGACTACGGGGCAGGGGCGGACTTTTGGACAAGTCTTACGGTAGGAAGCAGGCCTTAGGAATTGAGACCAAGTTTATCTCCTTTCCTTCTTCTTCTTTTCTTCTTCTTGCGAAATAGGTCAAACACGTTGACTCGCTAGACAGTTTCCACGCCCAGTCTGGTCGGTATCGTGGCGCTGACTGTTTTTGGGCACGACAACTCTGGTGTGGAAACGCCACATGGTGGGGGCCATGGACCCCACGGGTATTCTATCGATATCGATAAAAGCATTCGGGGTCCTGGCCAAATCCGAGGTAGCTTATTGGAGGGCCAGTCGGAAAGGACGGAGCGAAGTACATAAGCATAAAATCCTGGAATTAGAAAGTATCCACAAAGACTTACGCTGTACATAAGGTACAGAGTGGTATTCCTGTCCAAGCTCGTGCGAAGTACATACCTTACCTTCGGTTTGGTACCTGTATTTATCATAACCCGTATAACCCGTAGACTGCCGCTGTGATCATTCTCCTTGCCGTCGAATAGGATTTACCTACCACTAGACGCGGCCAGTGACGTTACGCCCGCGGCCGACACCCTTCAGACCAGAGCAGACTTCCCGTGGTCCGGCCCTTGTCCGATGAGTGCGAAAGTAAAGGCAGGGGCGGAGTTATCGTGGGGTACATAGGGCCGGAGAAGGACCCCGAACGCGTGCGGATAATAGATTGTAGCGTTCCCTTTTAGATCTTATATGACTTCGATTTGATCCCGTTGATAACTTGGTTCCTCTTGTCTTTCGTATTTCTCATGAGCTTCTCTCAAGTCGATATGCGGATTCGCAGATACATCATACCCCGTACTCTCCGTCCGTTCAATACCTTACCTTAGGTACTTACCACGGTTGCTTCCACCGATGACAACGTACTTCTTGAAGCAACATGCCATTGTACGGGAGTTGGATGGATAGAGAACCACGACACTGAGCAGCGCATTTTTATTAGCAATATACAGTACTTCTAGTTCCTGTCCTCTCCAAGACGACAGACCCGATATCTACCTACGAAGTACCTTATTGTCCGCTCTCGACCCACTTGACAACCCAGTGAGTACACACCCCGGGGTACATATAGTACCCAGTTAACCGATGACTGCCTAGTCTCGGCCTCGTGCTGGGCTGCGACTTCCCCTGGATCCTTCAAAACTCCCGTTCCCCGAACTCCGCTGGCAGAAAAACAGGAAGGGGGACAAACCGGGGGAAAAAAAGAAAAGAAAAAAACTATCTTAGTTCACCAAAATCCCTTCCACTCCTTCCTCTTCTCCTCTTCTCTTCTCTCAGGACTCTGCTAAACTGGGGATCTTCTATCTTCTTTCCTTCTCTCCTTTTCTTTCTTCTCCTTCCCTCCTTTACTTTAATCTCTATACTCTTAATTTCTTCCCCACGCTCCTTTACACCCCATTCTTCAGTCTCGTCCCTAATTAACCGTCTAACCGCTGTCCAGACGACATCAGAACGAGAACCTTCATAAACTCTCTCTCTTAATCGGCAGCGCGCCCCGAACGGCGTCGCAATCCCACTGCCTACCATGTCCGTCCCCGGAATCTCCGGCATCCCCACCAACTACGATGCCACTGCCGAGCAGGTCGCCGCCCCTGAATCCCAAGACTCGGCCGGCACCCGTGCTACCTCGGTCACCGAGGTCGCTCACAGTGACACCACCCGCCGCGGCGACGATAAGGCCGACGCCGCCGCCGCCGCTGACGCCATCGAGTCCGACGATGGGGAACACGAAGAGCGCGAAGAGATGAACCGCCGCCTTTCCATGGTCCACGATCTCGCGAGGAAATACTCCCGGGCCTCTTCCACCGGCGCCCACATCTCCCAGGGCACCAACCCCTTCCTGGCCTCCGAAGACCCGGACTCACCACTCAACCCGCAATCCGAGAAGTTCAATGCCCGCGCCTGGGCCAAGGCCGTCGTCGACCTCATCACTTCCGAGGGTGGTGGGATGCGCACCTCGGGAATCGCCTTCCAAAACCTCAACGTCTTCGGCTATGGTCAAGCCAGCGATTTCCAGAAGGATGTCGCCAACATCTGGCTGGGTGCCGTCGGTGCCGTCACCCGCCGCTTCTTCCCCCAGAGCCAGCGCCGCATCGACATTCTACGGGATTTCGATGGTGTTGTCCATAAGGGCGAGATGCTCGTCGTCCTCGGCCCGCCCGGTTCCGGCTGCTCCACGCTGCTCAAGACCATTGCCGGCGAGACCAATGGCATCTACACCGACAAGAACTCCTACTTCAACTACCAGGGCATGACGGCCAAGGAAATGCACACTCACCACCGAGGCGAGGCCATCTACACCGCCGAGGTCGACGTGCACTTCCCCATGTTGAGTGTCGGTGATACTCTCACTTTCGCCGCCCGTGCCCGCCGGCCCCGTCAGATGCCCGACGGCCTGGATCCCACCGTCTTCTCCAACCACCTCCGGGACGTCGTCATGGCCATGTTCGGCATTTTGCACACCGTGGACACCCGCGTCGGCAACGACTACATCCGTGGCGTCTCCGGCGGCGAGCGCAAGCGTGTCACCATTTCCGAGGCCGCCCTCTCGGGCGCCCCCCTGCAGTGCTGGGACAACTCGACACGTGGTCTCGATTCGGCGAACGCCATCGAGTTCTGCAAGACCCTCCGCCTCCAGACCGAGCTCTTCAACACCACCGCCTGTGTGTCCATCTACCAGGCTCCGCAGAGCGCCTACGACCTGTTCGACAAGGTCAGCGTCCTGTACGAGGGCTACCAGATTTTCTTTGGCCGCGCCGACGAGGCGAAGCAGTACTTTGTCGATCTCGGCTTCCACTGCCCCGCTCGCGCCACCACCCCGGATTTCCTCACCTCCATGACGTCCCCCGCCGAGCGCATCGTCCGCGAAGGATTCGAGGGCCGTGTCCCGCGCACCCCCGAAGACTTCGCCGCCGCCTGGAAGAGCAGTGCGCACTACAGGAAGCTGCAGGCCGAGATCGAGCAGTACAAGGAGTCCCACCCCCTGAACGGACCTGATGCCGAGGCGTTCCGTGCCGCGAAGCAGGCCCAGCAGGCCAAGGGCCAGCGGAAGAAGAGCCCTTATACCCTGTCCTACACGCAGCAGGTCCAGCTCTGTCTCTGGCGTGGTTGGAGGCGTCTTATGGGTGACCCCAGTCTTACCGTCGGTTCGCTTATCGGCAACACCGTCATGGCCTTGATTGTCTCTTCCGTCTTCTTTAACATGGAGGAAACGGCCGACAGCTTCTTCCGCAGAGGCGCTCTCATCTTCTTTGCCCTCCTGATGAATGCCTTTTCTAGTGCCCTCGAGGTCAGTCATCCTTTCTTTCCTTTGTCCTAGTGCTGTCCCTCCTTGTTCCACTTGTGTGCGACGACGAAAAAAACAAACCGAAACGGGTGAAAAATAAAAATAAAAAAAGGGGAAAAACTAACCTCACAATCACAGATTCTTACCCTGTACGCCCAGCGACCCATCGTCGAGAAGCACAGCCGTTATGCCCTGTATCATCCCTCCGCCGAAGCCGTGTCGTCCATGCTCTGCGATATGCCGTACAAGGTCGCCAACTCCATCGTCTTCAACGTCATCATCTACTTCATGACCGGTCTACGACGGGAAGCAGGCCCCTTCTTTTTCTTCCTGCTCGTCTCCTTCTCCGCCGTTCTGGTCATGTCGATGATTTTCCGAACCATCGCCTCGTCGTCCCGCTCGCTGTCGCAGGCCCTCGTCCCTGCCGCCATCCTCATTCTCATCCTCGTCATCTTCACCGGCTTCGTCGTGCCCGTGCGTTACATGCTCGGATGGTGCCGCTGGCTCAATTACGTCGATCCCTTGGCCTACGCCTTCGAAGCCCTCATCGTGAACGAGTTTAACGGCCGTGAGTTCATTTGCACCCAGTTCCTACCGCCCTATCCCGACGCGGCCCGAGAGAACAAGGTCTGCAATTCGGTGGGCGCCATCGCCGGCAGCGACTACGTCAGCGGTACCGTGTATGCTTCCTCCATGTTTTCGTATGAATGGAGCAACCGCTGGCGCAACTTCGGTATCCTGATCGCCTTTGTGTTCTTCTTCCTTGCCACCTACATGATCGCCGCCGAGCTGGTTTCCGAGAAGAAATCCAAGGGCGAGGTCCTCGTCTTCCGCCGCGGCCACAAGCCGGCGGTTCTCAAGGAAAAGGGCGGTGCCGAGGAGGACCCGGAGGACATGGTTCGCGTGGGTCCCATCACCACGGCCGACCGGTCTCGCATCGTCCAGCAAGGCGGGAAAGATGCCAACCTCCAGCAGTCGACTTCCGTCTTCCATTGGGACGATGTATGCTATGATGTCAAGATCAAGGGGGAGACGCGACGTATCCTGGACCACGTGGACGGCTGGGTCAAGCCGGGAACGCTCACGGCGCTCATGGGCGTCTCCGGCGCTGGCAAGACCACCCTCCTGGACTGTTTGGCTGACCGGACGTCCATGGGCGTCATCACCGGCGACATGCTCGTCGACGGCTGGACGCGGGATACTTCGTTTCAGCGCAAGACGGGTTATGTCCAGCAGCAGGATCTCCACTTGGAGACGACGACGGTGCGCGAAGCGCTCAACTTTTCCGCCCTGCTCCGTCAACCTGCCCATGTCCCCAAGGCGGAGAAGCTCGCCTATGTCGATGAGGTGATCAAGCTGCTCGAGATGGAGGAATATGCCGACGCCGTCGTCGGTGTGCCCGGTGAAGGTCTTAACGTCGAGCAACGCAAGCGCCTCACCATCGGTGTCGAGCTTGCGGCCAAGCCTCCTCTTCTGCTCTTCGTCGACGAACCGACTTCTGGCCTCGACTCGCAGACGTCCTGGGCCATCCTGGACCTGCTGGAGAAGCTGACCAAGTCGGGCCAGGCGATTCTCTGCACGATCCATCAGCCCTCGGCTATGCTCTTCCAGCGGTTCGACCGGCTCCTCTTCCTGGCCAAGGGCGGCAAGACGGTGTACTTTGGAGACATTGGTGAGAACTCCAAGACTATGACGTCGTACTTCGAACGCAACGGCGGCTTCCCCTGCCCCGCGGACGCCAACCCGGCCGAGTGGATGTTGGAGGTGATCGGTGCGGCGCCGGGCTCGCATTCCGACATGGATTGGTACGACGCGTGGCGGAGCAGCCCCGAATACGCGGCCACCAAGGCCGAGCTGAAGCGTCTCCGTGACGAGCGGTCGCCGGACCCGGCGTCGGCGCTGAACAAGGAGGACGCCGCGTCCTACCGCGAATTCGCCGCGCCGTTCTGGGAGCAGCTCCGGCTCGTGTCGCACCGCGTGTTCCAGCAGTACTGGCGCAGCCCGTCGTACATCTACTCCAAGACGTCTCTCTGCATCCTCGTCGCCCTCTTCATTGGATTCGTTTTCTACAATGCGCCCAACTCGATCCAGGGCATGACCAACCAGATGTTCGCCATCTTCAACATCATGACCATCTTCGGGCAGCTCGTGCAGCAGACCATGCCCTACTTTGTCATCCAGCGGTCGCTGTACGAGGTGCGCGAGCGGCCGTCCAAGGCGTACTCGTGGAAGGTGTTTATGCTGTCGCAGATCATTGCCGAGCTTCCGTGGAACACGCTCATGGCCTTGTTCATGTACGTCTGCTGGTACTACCCGGTCGGGCTGTACAACAACGCGGCGGCGGCGGGCCAGACGACGGAGCGCGGCGCGCTCATGTTCTTGTTCCTCTGGGTCTTCCTCCTCTTCACGTCGACCTTTACGGATTTCATGATCGCCGGGTTCGAGACGGCGGAGGCGGGCGCCAACATCGCCAACGTGCTGTTCATGATGTGCCTGATCTTCTGCGGTGTGCTGGTCAACCCTTCCGACATGGAGAGCTTTTGGATCTTCATGTACTACATCTCGCCCTTCACGTACATCGTCAGCGGCATGCTCTCGACGGCGCTGGCCAACACGCGGGTCGAGTGCGCGGACAACGAGCTGGTGCCGATCGTGCCGCCCACGGGCATGACGTGCACGGAGTACCTGGACCCGTTCCTGGAGCAGGTCGGCGGCTACCTGACGCCCGACTCGGTCAACTCGACGGAGCAGTGCCACATGTGCCCCATGGGCGACACCAACACGTTCCTGGCGTCGGTGCGGTCGGATTACGGCGACCGGTGGCGCAACTTTGGGGTGGCGTGGATCTACATCGTGTTCAACGTTTTCGGTGCCCTCGCGCTGTACTGGCTGGTGCGGGTGCCTAAGAAGAACGGCATCTTTGGCAGGAAGAAGAAGCAGGAGTAATACTGAAGGGGAATCCAATAAAAAAAATAAAAAATAAAAGAAAAGGGGGAGAGTGGTTTTGCGTATCTTGGAGGATATATCCCCGGCTGGCAATCGCCATGCCATACAATGCCTTGCGTTGGCGGTATTTGTCTTATATTCTTGTGTATATAGATGTTAGATGTTTGGATCCCGCATGCCCGCCCCCCCTCTCTCTTGTTACGGAGCAGATATGGGCATGGGACGGAGAATCATTTGCTGCGTGCAATGGCTGTAAGACATGCTATAGCGACTTGACATCATACGATAATAGACGGTTTCCTAGTTGTTCAATTTTTGGCCTTTTCCTCTGCACAGCGTCCCTTTTCCTCATCGTCTTCACTTTGGGGCCGGAATATAAATTTCGTTGACAGTTGGTCAGACACAGCAACCCCAGTTTTGAGTGTAACTGGTGCCCCTGATCACCGAACCCGTAATAGACACATAGTCTTGCGGGTAACGGGACGGATAGTGTATAAAAGCAACTGAACCAAGAGAACACTAGGTACCCGGAGACTACCTAAAGTAGAAGGTTCGACTGACCATCACCAGCACTGTTTCATACCTGTGCTTCCTTCCATAACCACTCAATCTACCTAGTAAGGTAGGCACGTTCTTCGTTCTTGCCTTTGTCACCATCCAATATACATACCGGCACAGAGCTTCCCGGAGCCTTTTTTTTTTTTTTTTTTTTTTTTTTTACAACATTTCCTTCATCTTCTGTTCCCTCTTCCCTCTTCTCACCATCACCGCAACCTCTTCGCCAACAGCCCACAGCAAGGTACGTCTCACTCGAATTCTTGCTCGAGACAGTTATATGGATATCGAGAGCTCATAGTTGGCCAATCGCTGCGTTACAACAAACCCTCTTCACAACAACTTATAATCAAGCCAAGAATTCAAATACCTGCGGCCAGGATTCACTAGTCCCTACCCAGCCGATCAGATTCTCGTCGAGATGGCCACCGAGAGGCTTGACGCTCCTCAAAACAGAGCGGAGTCTCGCATACGGACGCGACGACAGTTAACCAACCTGCGGGAGCACTATGCCCACACCCTGGAGCAATATTCCGCCGTCGCGCAGAGATCGATGTTGCTGCTTGAGCGGGCAATCGCCGAGCTCGCACAGCAGGCAGCCAACGCGGCGGCTAGTGGTGCCACGGCCGGAGGTAACGCTCATATGACGAGCCAGGCCTTCTGGGTAGAAGTTCGTGTGAGGTGCAGCGCTTGGGAGCGGCCGTGCAAGAACTCGGCGACTTCCCAGCGGAGATTGAGATGCATGTCCAGCGTCGAGCTCTCGCGCGACGCTTGGGATCTCGGGGATGATGGGTCGGACTCTTCTTACTTTTGGTCCTACCGTGTAAACCCGGGTCAAGTGGCGACTGCTCGATGGTGGGAAAGGCCAGTGGGATCTGATATTCGGGACGTGCCGCGTGCGTCGTCAATGATAGGATTGTTTAGTGGCTCAGAATAACTCATCTCATCGCGAAACCGATCTCCGTCAAAGCAACGCAAGAAGGATTAGTAGAATCGTAGCCAACTTGTAAGGAAATTACTCACCGACGGTTTAAGACCCTGTTCATGATGCTATCTACGCTTGTGGAGAACAATAGTATTCGTGGTTCGACCGTGTCGTGACTTATAAACTCCCGAATGCTCTGACCTGCCCCTATAGAGTCGATATTTAGTTGGCAGCATGCTATCGTGCTATGACGAGCGGACGAAGAAACGATACATCCGATGGTAACATAAATCGGTTTAAGGGAAAGAGGTGGGGAGGAAGGAGTTGGGAGGCGATGGTGTTGGTGGGATCATGGATGCAGATAATAGGTTTCAGCAAGACAGGAAAGTCCCCTGACATTGAGATGGATCTCCCTCCATCTGACTCAACGGGAATGTATACACTGGCTCGATAATCATGAGACCAAAATCCTAGACTTGAATATCTTTTCTTTAATATGTATAACATGACCTGGGATTATCTCTATCTCGTCTTCGTTGTCTCCGTCTAAAGCTAGGTCGCCCCTGATACCCCGGCAAGAGACCAGCATCGCTACAGGGTATCGCACCTCAGCGTGTATCTGTCCGTACTTGGGTATACCGTCTGTCTCGCGTGGGAATAAGACGCATGTGTTTTTATTTTATGTTGTTGAAAGAAGACGATGGCACTTGGGAGAAAGGAGAAAAGGTGAAGTGGATGCAAAGTGCGGAAGCTGCGCGCAATTGCAATTGCCTTGTCAGAGACGTATTGCTAACCATTAGCAGCCAATCCGAAAGCTCGGATCGTCTAGTTGGTTAGGATGATGCATTGTGGTTCCTACTACAATACTGCATTGACGGCAGTTCGAATCCGCCTCCGAGCATTTCTTTTTGTCGCGACACCTTTGTTGCTCAGTGCACGGAACCCCTTTTTTTTTTTTTTTTTTTTTTTTTTTTTTTTTTTTTTTTAAAAAAAAAAAAAAAAAAAAAAAAAAAAAAAAAAAAAGAGAGAGAGAGAGAAAATTGCACTCCAGATAGAGGGTATATATAGGGATACTATTTCTTGGACATTCGTCCCGGGCCCAACAAAGTACGAAGTACGGAGGTAATAATTACAGAGATGATTCATTCCGTTGAGTGGCGAGCCTTTTCTGGTTCCTGATGACGTGAGCCAACCCCGTTTCTTGTTTTCCCTCTTCCCCCATTCCCCTTTCTCCCCACAACGCAGAAAGTCACCATTCGTAGCCACTTCGAAGCTTTAGTACTTCGTACCTGACGTCCCAAGGCACAGTAAACTTTGCTAATTAATCGGAGCGATCTAACGATGTACACGTGCAAGATGGAACCGCCGCCGACTATCTTAAGTGCATGAAATGTATCCCTACCTTACCTACCGTACAACGCATTCCTGATTTCCATTTCTACCGAGTCCATGGGTCCCGGCTTTCGTGATACCCGGGGATCACGTGATGTGTCAGAGGAGAGCGAATGAAAAAGGGAAAAGGCCAATCAATGTCCAGCACAGCCTCGATGCCCAGTCCCCCAGGACGATTCGCCAAGACGATTCGCCAAGACGATTCTGCGATTGGGTTCGTTGTGGTCGTCTCAGCTTGCGTGGCGCCGAGAAGGGAAAGCAAAAGAGATTAGTGGTGACGCGGTACTCGTACAGTGTCCGTACTGTTGACAATTCGCATCGGTGGCGCATTCGTCTTTCTCTCCCCCTTCCTCAGCTGTCCCCTGGGCTTCTGTGGTACTCCCCCTGCGCTAGTATACCTGTGTCTGCATGTTTTGATGTTCTGTCTCTCCACCTGTCTGTGGTGTGGAAACACATAAGCTATACTTCTAGGTACTTATCATCTCGTACCTGCCCGTTTCATGGCTAGGCCATGTCGACGTTCTCCAGTACGAATACAGTACATGTACATGGCCATTAAGGGGGATCCGCATTCCCGCATTTTCCCAAAACCTGCCTGTCCCTTCAACTTCCCACTCTCCACTTGGCCACTTGACGCTCGTTTCCCTTTCATCACCAACACGACCAACCTTCTTCCCCGTCTCATTCTTCATTCTTCCCTCCGTCTCATCTTCACCTATCCGCTGTGTGTTGTTGTCGCTCCGTCTTCCGACATTCGACACCCTGCGGCAGTCATTCGCTATCGAGAAAAACAAATTCTCCTCCGGATTTTCTTCTTCTGCTAAACTACGACTTTATCCATCGCTCTTCGCCTTTCTCACATCGTTCCATATCGCCATTTTATTTTCGCCCTACGACAAAACCCTTCGTCGCGTTCCTTCCATCCCTTCCGACGATCACGATCACCGACGAGAACGCAACCCCCAATTTCACCATTAGCGGCTTCGCTTGACATCGCCGCCCCCGGTCACCTTCCGCTTGGATCTGCTCGATTACTTTCCCTCGCCCGTTTATCGTCCCATCGTCAGCTTTTATCCCCTCGTCTTCGTCCTAGCGACCGAGAGGGCCCGTTTCAGCCATCGATTCCTGCGAATCCCCCTTGCCGAACCGATCCGACGTCCCTGCAGACAGCCCCGACCTTTTATAATCCACGGGGCCAATCCGGCGTTGGCTATGAAGTAACGACCCTTTACCGTTTCCCACAGATTCCCAAGACGACAATCACGACAGTACCTGGCTTTGGCTTATCTACCCAGCGTTGTCTCGTTTATTTGAGCATATCCGTATTCATCGCCGATCGTGCATGCTCCTGACTTTGAAAGAACGGCGCCATGTTCTCCTCTCTATCTTCGGGCGTCGTCCCCACGGCCCTGCTCCTGCTCGCCGGCACATTGCCTTCAGCATACTCTCAGTCCCCCTACAGCCTGGAGACAGATGGTACGCTCTTCTTCTTTTATTATTATTATTTATCATCCCCCCCATCTTTTCCGTCTCGCGTTTGCTTCCTCTTTGCCCTTCCCTATGCTCATCTCCGGCCTCCTTTTAGATGATATCCGACAAGCAGCGAGAACCCTGGCCTACGACCTGATGCTATTCTACGAAGGGAACCGGACCGGCATGATTCCCGGCATTTTACCCGGTCCGCCCGACGACGGTCTCGGCGATTACTATTGGTGGCAGGGTGGTGCCATGATGGGCACCTATATCGACTACTGGCATTACACCCGCGACCCGAGCTACAACGACGTCGTTCAACAGGGCATGGTCCACCAGGTCGGCCACGACCGTGACTACCAGCCCCGCAACTTCACCGCCTCGCTTGGAAACGACGACCAGGGTTTCTGGGGCATGAGCGCCATGCTGGCCGCCGAGACGCGCTTTCCCGATCCTCCCGAGGACCAGCCGCAGTGGCTCGCGCTAGCCCAGGCCGTCTGGACCACGCAAGCCAGCCCGGAGCGCCACGACGAATATTGCAACGGCGGTATGCGCTGGCAGGTCCCCCTCACAAACCAAGGCTATAATTACAAGAATACCATCGCGAACGGCTGCTTCTTCAACCTCGGCGCCCGCCTCGCTCGCTATACTGGAAACGACACGTACCTCGAGTATGCCGAGAGGACCTGGGACTGGCTCTGGGCCGTGGACTACATTGACCACGAAAACTGGCGCGTTTACGACGGTGCCCACATTGAGCATAACTGCACCGATTTGAACAAGGCCACCTTTTCCTACAACATCGCCGTCCTCATGCAGGGTGCCGCTTTCATCTATAACCACGTGCGTACCTTTCTCTCTCCCCCCCTCTCTCACTCTCTCCCTCTGTTTTCCCCACTCCTCCAAACGAGTACGTGATAGCGCAAAGCTAACATGGATAACAACGCAGACCGAGGACCCGAAGTGGCTCGACCGAACCGAGAGGCTTGCCGAGCGCTGTCTCCGCGATTTCTTTCCCGATGGCGTCGCTTACGAAATCCCCTGCGAGTTCCGCCGTGGCCAATGCAGCACGGACATGTTGACCTTCAAAGGCTACGTGCACCGCTGGCTGACCGTCGTCGCCCAGCTCGTCCCTTCGCTCAGCGACACCATCTTACCCGTTCTACGCACCTCCGCCGAGGCTGCCGTCCGCCAGTGCTCCGGCGGCGAGACCGGTCGCGTGTGCGGATTCTACTGGAGCTCCGGCGAGTTTGTCGACCCCGCCGTAGACAGCACCACCGGCGCTGGCGAGGCCATGAACGTCCTCGCCGCCGTCTCGTCGCTCCTTGTCCACGGTGCTGAGCCGCCCGTCACCAACTTGACCGGTGGCACCTCCCGTGGCGACCCGAATGCTGGCCTGAACAGTGATATTTACCGCAAATATGATCCACTCACCACTGCCGACCGCGCCGGCGCCGGCATCATTACCTTCCTCGTTCTTGCTGGTGGTCTGGCCACCTGGGGCTGGATGAGCACTGGCGATTAAACGTTGTACTAACGAACAGTTCAGCTCGAGTGACCCGACTCTTTCCCCTTCGCCGGCTTGTCTCCCATCTGCTACAGGGCAGGGACGAATAGGCAGGGCAGGGCAGGGCAGGGACGCAACAGGCTCTTCCTTTCGCTGCATATTGCGGAGGACGAACCGCTGTTTTATCCGCTACCGCTTGCGGCACGGATGACATTTCGGCACCGATAAAGCGTTTCCTTCGGACCACGATAAATAGACGCTACATTCATGGACAGCATTTCTTCATCCGAATACCCTTCGAAGCTCTTGCGAATCTGGAGACTCAAAACACATGCAGGACGGCCGCGAGATTATAACATGTACACTTTACCCTTGAATGTCCGCATTTGGCATACGGCGTTTTCGCAGTCTTTTTATGTTCTTCCTTTGTTTTTCTGTGCGGGTATAAGTCCTCAACGTCCCAGAATTTAGGGATAGGAAGACTCTGGATTGGGATCGAGTTTGCTTTTTTCTGTATCTTGCGGATTCGCTCCCTGTAGGCCTTTGGTGTTCCCTTCGCTTCGCGCTTTTCCTTCTGGTTCCCTTGCCCCAGCGATCCTGGGCCCGGTTTTCGCACATCTCTTCTTTTCTTGGCTGTCTGGGGCGTGTTGGCAGAAGAGAACTCAATTCGGGCTGGGCGGGAACTATTGATGGAAATCCTTTGGCTTTTGCTTCGTTGAATATCTAAAGGAACGTGCGATGGTCGTGTTCTTGCGTGGAATGAGTGGTTCCTTGTGCTCGAGTGAAACATACCAGCTTGTAGACTGAGCCTCTGGTCTAGGACCGTCTGTTTCTCGCTCGAGCGTGAATTGTATCGTCTTGATAGAACGACTTTCGCGAAAATCCTTCTCAGATGCGTCCAAGTGGATCTAGTCATGAATAGGGGGCATGGGTGAAATATAGTCTGTGCATTATACTGAACTCTCACGAATGAAACGGACCTATGGGATATCTTGACATGCCTCTTAAACCTACAAGGGAAGAGAAATAGAAGCGGTGTCGAGGTCGTATGCCACAGCTCTTTTCTTCTTCTTTCCACCACCATCGTCGCCCCGTCCAGACGAACAATATAACGAGTATCCAGCGTCCCCTCTTAGACTACCTTTACAAGAAATTGATGCCCACGCCCACTTGTACACCCTTAGTGCCAACCTCCCCGCGGCGCAGGATCAAAGGCAAGCTAAAATTCAGTTCGAACCGCGCGACGGGATGGGCGTACACGATGCCAAGGCCGGCAGCGACGCTGGGCGGCCCGCGCACCAGGTCACTGACGGCACCCCACATGCCACGCGCCACCGAGCCGGCATCGAGACCTCCTGCGGCGGCCGTCGAAGCTGAGGCGCCTCCGCCTGCGTTCTTGTCCCGGTTTTTCATGGCGACGAGGCGGCCACCGTTGGCGAAGAGGTGGAACCGCAAGCTCGAATCGGGAGCCGTGCGCGGGACGGGGAGGAGGAGATTGACGCTGGCCGCGGCGAAGACGTCGCCTCCCACGGCGTCCGGGCCGTCGTGGGGTCCCAGCCCGCCCAAGGCGAAGCCGCGGACGTCGGTGGGCCCGCCGAGGGTGAAGCGGTCGTTGATGCGGGAGGCGGGGGCGCCGCGGCCGGAGGAGACGAGACCCGGGGCGAGGGGGTAGAGCATGCCGAGGCGCAGGCCGGCGCCCAGGGAGGTGTTGCGGAGCCACGAAGGGGCCAGGGGTGTGGCGGCGGAGAGCTCGAGTTCGGACTTGGAGAAAGAGACGTCGCCGCCGAGGGGACCGAGACCGGCGAGCTCGAAGACGGAGCGGACGGCGTAGCCGCTCTGGGGCAGCTGGGGGTTGTCGCGGCAGTCGAGGTGGAAGACGTGGCGGAGGGAGGACTTGAAGGAGTCGCCGGCGTCGGCGCGGACGGTGGGGGAGGCGGAAGCGGCGAGGGAGGTGAGCTGGCGCCAGGCGGCGGAGTACTCGAGGGTGTGGGAGGCGGCGGTGCGCGGGGCACGGAAGGCGTAGCGGAGAGTGGCGGAGCGGAGGACCTGTTCGTGGGAGGCCCAGGGGCGGTCTGTGGCGGAGGAGAGGACTTCGAGGGCGAGGCGGCCGTCTGAGTCGGAGGCGGGGAGGACGGGGGCGCTGAGCTCGGCTGAGTAGGAGGAACGGGTGCGAGTTCCGGCGCTGGCGTGAAGATTCAGGAGTTCGGCGCCGCCGAAAAGATTGCGGCAGAGGAGAGAGGTGTAGGCGTTTCCTTCGGCGTTGCCTACGTCGGTGCCAGCATTGAACTTATAACGAGGCAGTTCGCGGAGGGCAATGTCGATGTCGACGTCTGTGGGGGTGGAGGAAGGGTCGGTTTGCTGGGCGGAGTTGAGGAAGATTTGGGGGGAAGGGTGGAATATTCCTGGGATTTCGTCCGTTAGTGTGTCTGGGCTTCTTGTGACGTTGCTGGGGAGGAGGGGGAGGAGGGGGAGGAAGATGAGGAAGACAAAAAAAAAAAAGAAAAGAAAAAGAAAAGAGGCGGCACAGTACCGAGTCGGTCGAGCTTGTGGCTGGCATCGCGCAGGCGATTCGTCACGTCGCCGAGTGTAGAGCCGGAATTGGCGGCGTCGCTAACCAACGGGCTGAAGATAGGGTCTAGGAGGCTTCTTCGTGTGTTCGTCGCTCCGTGGACCTGAAGTTTATGGATGGTCATTGGGGCCAACTGCTGTTCTTGGAGTTGCTGGAAAGGACGAAAGACCACCTCAGTCAGCTGCGATGCCATTTGATTTGACACCACGTCCTGTTATAAGTGAGCGTACCAGCAGGGTATGACGATGTTGGTTCTCTTCCTCAATCTCCTTGGCATGTTCAAGGGATGACTCGGTCTCGTGGCGCAGAATCTCTGTTTCGGCCTCAAGCTTCTTGATGGGATCAGAAGCCTATGAAGGGAGATGGTATCGTGTTAGCTGAGCCATAGTACCGCTAAGTGTCGCGTTTTGGGTTCAGCGAAGGACAGAAGAAACGTACTGGGCTTTCGCCCGACCTCGAGCTCGAAGCCATGGGCAGTGCGGGGGTTGGGGTTGGTATAATGATGTGGTTTGGTGGTGAAGACGGTGATCTAGGTCGAGGTTGGGACTGGACCGTGATCCAATTCCCATCTTCCTGACAAGGATCAGTACGTACTTCGACTTCGTACCTTATTAGTACACGGTAGGGGACATGGACCCAGTTTACTACCTACCTTGCATTGGGGCTGTGGCCGTTAGATAAGCTGATAAGGTAACATCTAGTGGCTGAGGTGTGGCGCGTTTGTCCGCTGCGTCAGCCTTGTCCGAATGGAAACTGGTGGTGACTGAATTATGGGGTACGGAACACCGACACGATTGTGACCACCCTTCCAATTTCACGTTTCCCTCCAGCTCTTATTTCCCTACTTTCTTTCCCCACCGTCCACTACTCTGCATCACCGCCATCCTCGACAGCAATCTCAGAGACATCTTATACTAGCGTCGGCTTATAGTGTCGCATTCTCCAGCATACTTTTCTGTCGCCTCTTTTCCCCTTTTTGTCTGTCGTTAATTTTTATCTTCCTCCTCCCGCCTCTCCTGACGGGCGAAGCCCGCCACTTCAGCGACACTTGTTATATCCCCGTACTCATCCGACGTCATCGCTGTCCGGCTTGGTATCCGATTATCACCATATCCATCATGTCGGCCAGTAAAGCGGCGCAGAAGCGGGTATGTCAGAGTTGCTTACAGTGTTCGTCGAGAGAAGAGTCGTGAGCTTTGCCAGGCTGACATGACCTTAAACCACTACCTACAGTTGACCCGCGAGTACAAGTCCATCTCCGAAAACCCGCCCCCGTATATCCAAGCGCACCCTTCCGACTCGAACATCCTCGAGTACGTGGTTCTTTTTACGCGCACAATCCCGTTTTTGTCTGTCTGGGGGGTTTCACTGGCGTGTTTTTTGACTGACGGACATGTAGGTGGCATTACGTTATTACTGGTCCCGAAGATACCCCCTACCACGGCGGACAATACTGGGGAACGCTCATGTTCCCCCCGAACTACCCTTTCGCGCCTCCCGCCATCCGCATGCACACCCCTTCCGGCCGGTTCCAGCCATCGACGCGGCTCTGCCTCTCCATCTCCGACTTCCACCCCAAATCCTTCAACCCGGCCTGGGAGGTGTCGACCATCCTGATCGGCCTCCTCTCGTTCATGACGTCGGAAGAGATGACCACGGGCTCGGTATCCGCCACGGCCGCCGAGCGGCGGGCCCTCGCCGCCCGATCGCGGTGGTGGAACTCCACCGGGGGCGGGTCCCACGCCAAGGCCAACGTGGCGGGGAAGGGCAACGTCAAGGCAGGCGACGGCGGCGCCAAGTTCCGGGGCGAGTGGCCGGAAATCGACGCCGAGAACTGGGAGTGGATGCGCGAGAACAAGGTGGACGTCGCGACGGGGAACCGACCCTGCGGATCGGGCGCGGGGGGCGCGAGCTGTGGACCGCAGCTGGGCATCGGTGCTGGTGCTGGTAGTGGGCACCAGGGCCGCGCCGTGGTGGATGCCGTTGTGCAGCAGCGGGACGCCGGCACCGGTTGGCTCCATCGGAACAAGCTGCTCGTGGCTGGCGCCGTGCTGTTCATTTACGTCCTCATTGCGCGCATTTTGGGGAACGGGGAATAGACGAGACGATGAAGCTTCGGCTTTTCTAGAACTTTATTTTTTTTTCTTTCTCCTTTTTTTTTCTTTTCTTTCTCTTTTTGTCTCGCGAGTAAGAGGAATCTCCGGGACACGAAAGCAACAGCGGCAGCAGGCACCTTAAGATACGCGACACGGGCAGGACTGGATTGATTTTCCAGCAGAGCGCGTGGTGAGTTGGGCGGAACTTTTACTCCGCTTCCTGCATGATCTATCTTTTCATCAATGGACCAACTACGAAGCACGGCGTTAGGACACAGGACACACAAGCCTCGCGTCGACACATGCATTTTTGGAATCCCAGCCCAACAAGCCACTGCAAGGCACAGCGAATGGCGGGGGGTTTCACGTGTTCGGGCAGTGTTACCTTGCTGGGGCTGTCATGGAGAATCACTCCGTTGACCGCCAGACCTTTAGACGTTGAGCACCACGGGACCAGGTTCGTGTAAGGGATCTGAGTTGGGCGGCTACACGGACGGACAGATGGGATAGATGGGATGAATGGTAAATGTTAGCGTAGGATACTATTTGGCGGTCTGGTGGCCGCGTTGGATGTCGTACCATGGACCCAAGCGTCGTGTAAAGCGAGTCGCTAACGAACCCCTTGATCAATTCTTCCATGTCATCATCCGTACCATAAGTGCACTATAATGCTCGTGTAGCTGGACTTTTTATTATTTCCTTTCGCGCATGGTCCATTGCTGTTGGAAAGCGTGCTACAGTCCTAACTACCTTGTTTTGGTGATTTTATTGTTTTGGTCACTGAGCGAGAGATTAGGATTCTGGAGCGTAGGTATGGATACGAGATTCGATGTGTTATTTACTCCGTACAGGATTGTCAGAGCAAGTTTCGGTGTATTCGGTGTAGTCGGTGAGGTGCTTAATTGAAATGTGTACCTGAGGTACCTTGCGGAAGTCATACGGAAAAAAAATTAACATTCGTATCCGTACGAAGTAGGAGATCATGCTGATGCTCGTGAACGAATGGAGCCAACGACCTTAGCAAGCTACCTAGTGATAGGTCTTCCCGAATAAAGTGCCTTGGTAGGCGTCCAAGCCTGCAGTAGGTACGAAGAGCACAGGTACAGGTAGCGAGGTCAGGCCGTAATTAGTACCTCGTGTACAGTATTCATCAAGTTTTACGGTGTCAGATGCCACAGCTACCTTATCGGGGTGTGACAAACCACATAGTGTCAGACGTGTGGAGTACCTCGGTCCTATATATCCACCCTTATTTCCCCTGCTTTTTCCGTATAGTTAGACATTCCCGTGAAGTATTAAAAACTTTACTTAGATAAATACACATATAATTCCGCGTACCTTATTTATGTTCTGATAGTTATAAGCCCGGCGTTCTAATAAATGAAGCTATTCCGATCGATCCTATAGCTTCTAGGCTATTAAATCAGCCTTAAGTCTGTAGCGGGTAGTTTAGTATTATTAGTAACGTCCGCCTACTTTAGTTTTATTTAATCGTTTTATCGTTTTTAATCGCACTATTGTTTTAAGCGTTTAGTTTAGTTAATTAACCTTTCCGTTCATCCTATTCCACTACTTTTTATTAGTATAACGATAGCTTCCACGGTAGCAGTACCCGTTATAGGCCTCGTAACGCTCACCTCTCCGAAAGAATAGAGGCCTTATATTAAAGCCGTGATAACTATCGCGCACTCCCACGATATCGCCGACCTCGTTAATCCCGACCTTAAAGAGGCTAAACGGCCTAAGCGCCGTATTCGAACCGATCCACCGACGCCTCCAGCCTCTATTAAAGGAAGAGGTAATTAGGATATACTATTTAAGATCTGGCAGGTGGAAGAGGATCGGTATAAGGCTGAAAAGAGGGGGATTTAAGCACTCCACGACTATATCGCGGAGACGGTTAGCCCTGCTTTAAAGGATTAGTACGCCGGTAAAAAGGAAGTTAAAGATATCCTGTATACCCTTAAGACGCACCTTAAGCTAACGAACGTGGCCTAGAAGTCGCTAATTAAAAGACGCTAGGATAAACACCTCTAAAACGTTAGGCGTATACCCTATAAGCGCTGGCTAAAAAGCTTTATAAAGCTATGCCGCGACGCTAAGACGTATAAAGTCCGAGAATACGATACTAAGGAATAATAGATAAACGGCTTCTTTAACGCTATCGGCTATGTAGCACTAGAGTAGTTAGAAGGACGCTGTATATAGCTTATCCGGTTAGAAGAGTAGGACCTACCCTTAATTTAATCTATCGTGGAGAAATATACGATATAGCTTTGTCGCCGCTACCCGCACCGACTCGATAAAAAGCCTACCGTAGTATCCTTTTATACGGTAACCTTCCTAGGTAAGGATAAAGAAGGTAAGGATTAGCGGGCATAATCGGGATAGTAAGATAATTAGTAGTCCTCTCTATAGTAAAAGAAAGAGTGGCTTTACGACTACCGTAATAAGAAGAGGAGTAAGTATAATTATAAGCCTCTATAGAAATACCTAAACGTAAACGAGGCACACAGGAAGAAGGGATAGACACCCTTAAAAGAGATCTTAGAACGCGTTGACCATATTATTAAGACCTAGGATAACGAACGTTAAAAGAGATTCCGGGGGAATATCGAAAAGAACGCTAAAAGCCTAAAAACGGGTACTAAAAACGACTCTTAGAAGTTATAGCCGAAGGAATCGTTAAAGGAGGTATCTAATTTTATCGATAACTAAGAGGAGGATTCCGAAGAGGAATCCTATAGAATATACTCCCTCCTGCAGATTAACAGAAAAGAAAGCGTTAGTAGTAACCTCTTTAACCAGTTATTAATCGATTCCGGCACCTCTAGGTATATCACTAACTAACGATACCTGCTTTAGGATTTCGGACCTGCTATAGAAGAGTATCGTTTTTAAACGGGTAGTAGAGAGACTAAGCTAGTTAAGGGTTATAGTAGGATATAATTAGAGGTAGACGACGAATATAGTAATCCCTTCGTTTTAGTGCTAAATCGCGTTGCTTTTATAGAAGATTACCTAATAACCTTGATCGTAACCAGAAGATTAAAGGAAGAGGGTATTGTTTTTAATTCCGGCCTTAAAGTGCTAAAGGTAGAGGGCTTAGTAGCCTTACCTCTAAATAATGTTAACGATTAATACGCTCTCGTTCTAACGGATCATTGATAGTACCTACTAAGTAGCTTCTTTAATAGCTCTATAACGCCTACTATAAGCGTGGTAGACGCTCGCTTATAGTATAAGAGGCTAGGGCACGCCGGCGCTACTGCCCTCGATAAAATTAAAGATACCCTTGTCGGAGGCCTTATTAAAGGAAAAGGTCCTCTTATAGTGGATTATAAGGCCTATACCCTTAGTAAGGCAAAGAAGGTAGTATCTAGACGGTCGCCTAACCACTAAACAACGATACTATAGTATAGAGTGGAGGTTAACCTTTTTAGCCTTAACGAGGCCTATAACTGTATAAAGGTCGTGATGCTTTTATACGATCCCTGTACTCGTTAAGCTATTACAACGGCCTTAGGTATTTAATGGGATATATAGCTAGAACTGGTGGCTACTGCAGTATATCTGTATAACCTTATCTCTTAGAAGGACCTCTAGTGGAAAACCCCTTAAGGGCAGATAGAGGATTGGATTAATAAATAAGGCCTAAAGAAGATACTGACGAAGCCTATTATTAGCTACCCAAAGAGGTATAGTTATAGAGCCTATCCACTAACCGCGGATTATTAACGAGGTCGTAACCGTAACGCTAAGCTCGCGGAGAGAGTATATATCGGCTATTTAATCGGCTATAAGAGCACTAATATATACCGGATTTAGGTGCTAAAATTAGAGAGGATCCTACGCACAAGAGACGTTACTTTTAACGAAAAACAGCTATATAAAGATCGTGACCACAAACCTAAGGTGTTAATTAGGGTTTTCGAGTAGCTTAATCTGCCTATAGATTATTAACTCCACGATCCTTTAGGTATTACTACCGACGTGGTCGATTTTCACCCTTAAATGCTGCTAGAATAGAATACTATAAGAGAGGCTATAGCGGCTGCTGCTGCTAGTGCTTCTGGGGGGGTGGATAGAGGTGTAGATTTAATAACCACTATAGAATCTGCAGAAGAATAATAATAGCAGGAAGATTAACCTGCTGATTAAGAGGCATAGGAGGCACGTGGAACAGGGTAAATAAGCCTTATAACGCCTTCCACGCCTCCGGCGGCACCTGCTTTAATAACGCCTTCCATAATTACACCTATAATTATGCCTCTACTAGTACCTATTTTCCTTCCTCTAATAACCATAAACGGCCCTCCTATACTACTAACTAGAACTACGGATCTGCCGCCTGTTCTTAAACGGCCTAATGATGCCGAAGATTAATCTAACGATACGGCTACGACCGGCGATATCGTCGCGATAGGATTATTATCCCCTGACTAATGGGTCCTCGACGAGGAACTAACTACTACCACCGCCGTTAATTCGGTATCTACGGCTCCTGCTAAGTCTCCTTAAACCTCTTCTTCTACTGCTATAGCTAATTAAACTGCTTCTATAAGCAGAAGAAGCCGCCCTCCTATTATTCTAACGGCCGCTGCCGACCGGCCTGCCCGTAGTAGGCGTCTAACCGACCGTTATATCCCTCCTTCCTTTTATACCTTCTATAATCAGATTGAGATGCCGAAGAAGCCGCTGCTATGCCGCGATATATCTAAGGAACCTCTAAACTGGTCTTAAATGCTGAAGAGTCCCTATAAATTAGAATGGATTAAGGCCGCCTCCTAGGAGGTCGGCACGCTTAGGTTAATAAGCACCTTTAAATAGTGGGAACAGTCCCACTAGTAGGGGTATAGCTCAGGACTGCCTGAATCAGTTCTAAGGCTACTAGACCTTAAATAGGTTTTCAAGTATAAGGTCGATCCTACTAGTTACGTTAATAAGTTTAAGGCATGCCTATATGTTCGAGGGGATCAATAACCAAATAACCACCTTAACGCCTACGCCTCCACCCTCGCTAGAAGGACCTTTAGGTCGCTAATAGGCATTGTAGCCTATTTTAATCTCGAGACTCGGTAACTTAACACCGTTAACGTATTTACTAATACCCTACTTAACGAGGAAATCTATATTAAAGACCCCCCTGGTTAGCAGCTGCTCTAGTCGGCTACGGGCCTTAAAGCCCACGAATAGCTTAAGGACCTTTTAAAGTAACGCCCTCCTATATAACATAGAGGGATTTAAAGGCTACGCCGCGCGTTATATAGCCTCCGCCGTTCCCTAAAGCTATAGCACTAACAGCTCTCTTCCGTACTAGGTAAGTACGGTTTAAAGCAATTGACCGAAGACGATTACGTCTTTAAGAATAAGGTCCTGATTACTTTCTTTTACGTTGACGATATTGTCCTGATCTACCGTAAGGAATATTAATCTACCACTAATAACCTAGTGTAGCAGATACAGAAAAGCTTCTAAATCAGGGATCTAGGACCACTTAAGTGGTTTCTTAGAATCCGCGTAGGACGCGATCGTTAATAACGTAAGCTGTGGTTGTCGCTTAATAACTATATCACCGATAAGATGAAGGCGTTATAGGTAGATTATAGAGGTTAGAGGGTTAAAAGCCCTCTTCCTTATCCTGATATTCTAGAACCTGCCGACTAATAAGCCTCCGAGGAATTAATCTATCTATATCTTTGGAAGGTCGGTTCTATTAACTACGCCGCCTATTAGACCCGGCCTAACGTCTCTAAAGCCGCTTCGAGGCTTACCGAATTCAGCATTAACCCGTTAAAATAGTATCACGAGGCTGCTAATAGGTGTCTAAAGTATCTCGGCTCGATAAAGACCCTATGCCTTTACTTCGGACCACGTAAAGACTATTAAAAGCCTGTACTCCTCTATGCTTCCGACGCCGCCTTCGTAGACGACCGTGAGACTAGGTATAGCTTATAAGAGTACACGACCCTGCTATTCGGCGGTCCTATAGACTAGAAAGTAAATAAGTAAATAAGCGTCGTGACCTCTAGTACTAAGACCGAGCTTATAGCACTTTCTGCTACTATTAGGTAGTATATCGCGTCGAGGCGTTTAATAAAGGACCTAATATTAACCTTTAAGGAGGAACCACTAATAGTATACTACGATAATTAATAGACTAAGTAGCTACTAGAATCCCTTAGGCTATAGGTTACCTCGAAATTAAAGTATCTTAATATCCACGCCCTTTAGATCCGATAAACCGTTTAAAAAAAGACCGTCTTAATTAATTAGATCGCTACCCACGATATAGTTAGCGATAGCCTTATAAAGGTACTGCCCCCGTAGAAATATAGGGCGTTTATATATCTGTTAGGGATAGAGGTCCTAAGCCACGGGGCCTAAGGTAATTTATAAGAGGCGCGGTGCCGAGTTTATAATCTATAGCCTAGATTAACCGTGGTTTTGGTGCCCTTTAGATTATTATTTGGGCACCCGTTTTTAACGTGATTTCAAGGTTAATTTAACCACCTGTTTTTACACGTTTTTAACGTTTTTAGATATAAAAGGAGCGCGCTTTTTAATAAACCGTTCTTTAACCGTTGGATTGATATCTAGACCACTATTTTACCCTAGATTTACGGCTTTAAATTAAGCAGAATAGTCAGGATTAATTCTGTAGTTCTGGGGGGGTGTGTTAGATGCCATAGCTACCTTATCGGGGTGTGACAAACCACATAGTGTTAGACGTGTGGAGTACCTTAGTCCTATATATCCACCCTTATTTCCCCTGCTTTTTCCGTATAGTTAGACATTCCCGTGAAGTATCAAAAACTTCACTTAGATGAATACACACACAATTCCGCGTACCTTATTTGTGTTCTGATATACGGAGTACGGAGTAATTATGGTTTGCGGGGATTAGGGGGAAGAGGGGAAGGCGTACGTGAATAAGTTAGGTAGGTACCTTAGCTCAGGTAGAGGTACTCTTGCTTTCGTAGACAACCTCACATAATGCGTGCGTACCTTTTCCGTCCTTCGTAAAAATTGTGACGCAGCCCCGATTTTTTTTTTTCGTCAGTCTTCGACTCCTCGACGGGAGCCTCGTGGTGGTTCTAGTTTCTGGTCTGGTCCACACCTTCCTCACGGCTGCCCATCTCCTACCCCCATCAACCTCACCTTCCCGACCCGTCACCTCTCTGTGCCTGGTATCTGCACCTTCGCCAGCTTCAACAGCCGTCTTTGCTGTTTCTGCTTTCATATACCGGCTAGGGTTGATGCCATTGTACTTCTTTGGCAGCATCACACCCACCTCCCCTTTGTCGACGTCAAACAGAGAAAACAAAGAACAACGCTCCTATTCTTTGTCCCAACGCATATCACGAGCATCAGAAGCACCGGCACGTCGTCAGCTTCGATCCGGCGCCTCGTCTCCCGCCTCTCGTCTTTCACTTCTCGCCTCGCGCCTTGCGCCGCCACCACCTAACCTTGATCCTAGTCTTCGGGTACTCAAAGCCAAACCATAAGATCATCTTCCTCTGACTTCCTCTTGCTTCCCCTCATCCCCTCCTCTCCATCCCATCTTCTGCCATACTTTCTCCTTCTCTTATATCTTTTCTTCTATCTTTCCTTTCCCCCATCTCCACCCTGGACGGTTTTCTTCTTGCGTCGTGCACACAACAGTGTACTATCGCAAAAAAAAAAAGAAGAAGAAAAGACCTCTCCCAATATACCCAGGGCAGACTGTGACGCACTATTGAGCGCGCAGATCTGTCGTAACATGCTTACCTCTTCTCGAAGTCGACGCATGTAAAGAGTTGAGTAGCTCCAGGTCCCGCTTCAAGCTCGCCGTTTCCCCTTTCGACCTGGAGTCTCGCTCGTCGTTCGCCCTTCCACCACCGCCGCACCTTACACAGCCGTCTTGCTCGCTCGCCTTTACGTCGATTTTACGTTCACCATGCCTCGCCCCAACAACCCAGCTCCCGGTCCCCGTCCCGGTTCCGGTGCTGGCGCCCCAAAGGCAAAGGGCGTTCCTGCCCCGAACCGTGGAGTCGTCCCGGTTATTCCCCTGCCCTACATGAAGAATCGTGGCAGAGGCAAGCAACCTTCCGTTTCCGCCGCCAATGGCTCTTCCCTCAAGATTCAACACAACGCCGAACTCGCCGAACCTGCCACCCCCGAGACTGTTTCGACCGACGTTAGCAAGGATTCCAAGGGCTCCAAGGAAGGCACCGTTGTTGATGAGCCTGCTGCTGCTCCTGCCGCCGCCGTAGAGTCCAGGTCTGGTAAGCAGTTCTTTCTCTTCGTTCCTCCCCTCTTGCCCAGACTACCTCAACCTCTACTGCATTGGCGTTCCCCCTGCTTTGTAATTCCACGTGTAATTCCACATTCTGACCCTTCATTTCTCCTTTGCCATAGTCAATCACGTTGCCGAAACCACGCCCGCCGCAAACTCGCCCGCTATCCCTCAACCGACCACCTCCGTACAAGCTCCCGAGCCTGTTGTCTCCCAAACCGCGGAGGAGCCCGATTTCGGTTCGTCTTTCCCATTCGCTTCGTACCCATCTCTTCGCGTTTGGCCATCAACTCCCACTGACCAGCATCTAGACCAACCCACTGCTTCTGCACCTGCCAAGGGTACATTGTTGCACCTCATTCTTCTGTCCCTTCCCTTTCGATCATGGGCCACGCGTCGCTAACCGGCTTTTTCCAGGCTCGTCCGCCGCCACAAAGACTACTCAAGCTGGTCCCCCGACCACTGCTGCCCAACCGCCTCCCGCCATCCCTCCGAGCCGCTATACCATGCCCCCTGCCTTTCAGCCGGCTCCCCGCCCACTCGGGCCTCTCGCCAACGGCGATTCCGTTCGCGGGCCCCGTCAAGGCGTCAATGGCCTCGGCATGCACCATCCGCACCCTAGCAATGGCAGCCTGCAGTTTGGCGGCTTTGGCTCCAACAGCTCGTCTCCTGCCCCGCCTCATTCGGCCGGTTTCGGCCCGCCGCCCGGTTTGCCAGGTCATCCTGATGGTAGACGCGCCTTCCACGGTCATGGCCACGGTCATGGCCATAGCCATAGCCATAGCCATAGCCATAGCCACGCCCACGGCCACGCTCACATGTACGGCCACTCCTACGGCCACTCTTACGGTCACGACCCTGCCGCTCCCGGTCTTGGTTTCCCTCCCATGGTCCCCTACATCACCGAGTTCGTCCCTGTCAGCACCGCCAACGCCGATGGCCATGGCCGCCACGTACCCGCCCCGGCTGGCATTGAGCCCTTCGTTCCACGTGGTGCCAACGGCTACGGCGCTGGTCCATCCACGCCTCACAGTTTCCAGGATTCGCAGTCGTCCAACCAGCCCGAGGAAGGCAATCTCTTCGGCCACTTTCACGCGCCCACCAATATCAATGGCGTCGCTGGTAACGGCGATGACCGCGGCCAGCCGCGACAGCGTGGCGTCCCCGGCTATGGAGGACCTCCGCCTCCTCCTCACCAGGCGATGATGCCCGGTCACATGCCGCCGCCGCCCATGATGCAGCCGAGACGGGACGGGCAGGACGATGGGCTGGTCGGCTTCCTGCAGACTCAGTTTCAGGATCCGGCTTTGACTGACTGCACCCTCGAGCTTCGCTATGCGGACGACCGTGCCCCCCCTGTACGCCTCTCTGCCCATCGCTTAATACTTGCCCGGAGCGGCGCTCTCCGCAGCCTCCTGGATGCCGCCAGTGCCAGCAACGGCGATTCGACCCCGTCGGGAGCGGCGAACCGTACCATCGTGCTCCAGTCCGACGATAAGTATCTCCGCTCGGACGCTTTCTGGATGGCCGTTCAGCGTCTCTATGGTTTCCCCCTCCTCGAGGCCCCCGAACCGGCTGCCATGGGCGACGAGGGTCTCACTATGGCTGGGACGGCTGACAGCCGCTTCGACTTTGCCCTGGGCTATGCCGCCGCCGGTTCTGTCTTGGGTTGGACTCCGGTGGTCGTGCGCGGTCTCGATATCGCGTCTCGCCAGATCACGTTGACCACGCTCGAGAAGGCCCTCACTTTTGCCTTGGCTGACGTGCCTGACCGAGCGTCGGCCGACGGCCACACCCAGTTCGCGTACGGCGAGGTGGTTCAAATCATGATGGACGGGATCGTGTCTTTCATCATCAACAACTTCCCCGCTTTCTTCCGCCTCGATACGTCCGTGGTCGACCCCGAAGGCTTTGCGCGGATTCCGCCCGTCCCGACGACAGCTGCGCCCTCCGAGGCGGCGGCGACGGCCGATGGCCCTACCATCGTCCGCGGCACGTCGGTTCGTCTGGCCCAGGGCCGTCGGCCGCGACCGACGCACATCAAGTTTGGGGACATTAACGACGGCCCCGCTGGGCAAGAGGGGGGCAACGCCGCCGGCAGCACGGATGGGGCTTCTCCTCTCACGGCGGAGCAACGCAATATCAACGCCACCCTTTCCAGGGTCCTCCTCAATCTGCCGTTTGCGTACCTGAAACCGGTGCTCGAGTCGACCGGGTACAGCGTCCCGGGCTGGGCCAGCTCGGAGATGCGACACCAAATCATGGTGAGCGTCGTGTCGGAGCGGGAGGCTCGGCGGACTCGCGCGCTGGATGCGGTTCGCGAGGGCCAAGTACCTCGGGCGGCGCAGATCCGACGCTGTCTCGAGAGGGTGGAGCCGCGCCACGGCGACGCCTGGGACGTCCTTGGCTGGCAGGAAGAGGTGGTTCCATACAGGGGGGATGCCCCCTCTCTGGTCCGTAACTGGGTGCCCCTGTCGCCACAGGGCGGCGAGGGGCGGTCCGGAACGGCACCTGCGCCCGCTTTCCCCTAGTGGTTGACCTTTTGACGTGACGACCACACCAACCGACGCAAAAGGAAAGCTGCGAAGCAAAGAACTAGCGCGGTCTGACGACTTATGAGACTAACGAGCAGAGCGCAAACCATCAAACGGATATACTACGTACGGGGAAGTAGTGAATCGGTACCGTACAAGAAACGGATCACAGTGCACTTGCGGCATGATGAGGACACAAAAAGCACCTTTTGCCCGCTCGCGCCTCTTTATTTTGCTGTTTTGTTTCGGGGGGGAAGGGGGGGGGCGGGTGGTCCGCTTTCTTTTGCTAATGTTTCTGCAATCGGACTCGCTTTTGTTTCGCGCGCTTTAAAGGGGAGGACATGTCCCTCCCGCTCGGTACATTTCCGCCCCTTCTTTCTTTGCAGGAGAAGAAAAGCACAAAAGCTCCCTCCGATCTGGCTTTCATATTTCCCGCTTGTTACGAAGATGAGGGTGACGGGAGAGGTGGGGGGAAACCAAAAATGAGGGCTACTTTATCTTGCCGCGTCTTTTTATGGGCATTCTCGTTCCCCCTCCGTGGATTAGCGGCTTGCCCTTTGGGGCGGGGAACAAATATTACACGAGAGACTTGATTTTGCCCTGGGGTCGCTGGGACCCCGTGAGGTGACGTCTCCATCTACTCAAGTCGGAGATCAGGTCAGGTCAGGTCAGGTCAGGTCAGGTCAGGTCAGGTTTGGGCAGACCGTTCGTCCGGGACGCGAACGTGTCTGACCGGTTCAAGACCAGAAACGACTCGGTCGCGGGTTAGTTAGCAGGATGACAGAAACGGGAGTGGAAGAGACGGAATGCGCCGTGAGACGACGGCTAGCAGCAGTTGTGGGGATGAAGACTTTGGGGCGGGATGGGATGGAGGAAGGATGTAAGGGACGTCACAAGTACGATACCCGCGTTGTGCGTGGGACAGAAGCACGGGATTGGGAAACAACTTTGCGAGGAGGTTACTGGAAGAATAAAATGGGTGAGTGTGATAGTGGTTAAAATAATCAAAACGCCGATAGCAAGAGTGAGAGAGTGGAGTGTCCGGCGGGGGTGGTTTTTTTCTTTCTTTTTCGTTTCCTTCCTCCTTTCTACAGGTACGCTATACTAGGCGACGCTGTTTATACGTTTGTGGAATGTTGGATATGCCGAGGACGACGCGGTTGAGGCTGGATAGGTCCGTGATATGGGGATGAATGTGGAATGGGAAGACCCGATGCGGGTGTCATTTAAGGGGATAATTGAGGGACGTATAAGGTACGAGGGAGAATTGCGTATGGCTGGTTAGTTACTTGGATGCCGGTACGGATGGAGTTTGGGTTGCTTGATCTGAGGAAGTAATTGAGAATGGTAATTAGTGGATAAGGTACTGGAATGAAGATCTGTCTATGCTTATAAGGCATTATGCTGTTGACCTGCTAGTGTCAGATATAGCGTAACCGGAACGGTTAAAATAGGGGTAAAATTGATGGGTGGGGTTAGTCCGACTAGGGCACTTGGTTATTCCCAATAGGGTACCACTGACAGCACCTGATGCTAGCCGCCGCCACGTCCTATTATACCTAGATACTTCTATATAATCTATATACCTACCTTACCTATACATTCAATTAACGATATCGTCGCTTATTTAATTAACGATATCTTCCGACCGTTTAATTAACGGTATCGTCGCTTATTTAATTAAGGATATCGTAGGCACGTAGATTATATAGAAGTATCTAGGTATAATCGGAAGTGGTAGCGGCTAGTAGTAGGTGCTATTAGTAGTGCCCTAGTCGGAGTAACCAAGTGCCCCAGTCGGAATAACTAAGTGCCCTAGTCGGACTAACCGTGTCTAAATTAATTAAGATAATTATATATTCTTATATAACTTACAGGACTATTAGGGGTCTACTACTACTATAATCTCTATAGTGGAAATTCTATAGGTATATACCCGGATGCCCGGGGTTATAATTCTTTAGTTAAATCCGTGCCCGTTATATAACCGTAAAACCACGGTCTATTAAATATACTATCTAACCCCTGAAACAACGTATAATATATACTTACGGGGCCTAAATAAACTAATAGTATCACGATAATAAGCGGAGTGAAATATAACTAGATATATTAAAAGTAGAGATTTTCTACATAAAATACAGGGGTTTAGATATACTAAACTAGGGGTTCTTAGTATCCTATTAAACGACCTTATATCGCACGTTAAATAGGCACTTGAATGATTAACTTAGTAGAGCAGAAATCTCGTGTATGTGTATTATGAAGTTATATCTGGGAGAGTCTCTTATGCCCTTAATTTTGGTGGTGAAGACTCTGTTATGGGTACTATATCATTTGGATCCTATCCGGTCTTTTCCGGTATCCACCCTTATTATATCCTAATACCCGAAGTCCCCGATATCTAGAGCCCTTAGTTATGGAGTGGATCCCCCCTAGATCCCCTATAGACTATATCGTGGTCCTGCCTATACGACACACCCCCTTAGTTAAGGTGGGTCTTCCCAGATTAACTGACTAATTAGAGGCTTCGGTTTAAACTAAGCGCTCTTAACTTTTCTATCGTAAAATTAGTAGTTAAGGGAAAACGCCCTCGTAAAAGGGATCTAAATCCGCCCTATTTAACCGTTTAATTTAATTCTAGCTTAATTAGTTCCTTAATCCTGATTAGCAGGATCTAATTAATTGGATCTATATCTATCGGATCTACTACGCCCTCGGGGGCCTTTATTATAGCCGCTTTAACGCGTTTAATCTCTTCGTGTAGTCGTTTAGACTACTCGATACGATCCTTTTAATTAGTTAAATTAAGCTATTACTATAGTCTTTTAATCCCCGCCTCCGGTAATGCCTTTATTAATCCGTCCGCGATTATCTCCTTCGTGTTAACGTATGTAACCTTAAAAAGACCTTATTACACTAACTAGCGCGCCTACTAGTTATATATATCGACGTGCCGTAGCCTTATCCGCAGGCGTTATACCTTCTTATTAACGAGGTTAATAGTCTATTAATTATTATAGTATAGCTATAGCTATTATTAGTCTAGCCGAAGCTCTAAATCCCTTAATATCCGGCTAACGAATAACGTCTTTTTAGCGGTCTCTATAAAAGCGAGTAGTTCCGATTCTATTAATAACGTTATGACTATCGGTTATTTACCCGTTTTCCAGTTAACGGTGCCGCTAAAGAGCTTTATCGTATATCCTTACGAACTCTTATAGTCTGGATTATCCTTAAAGGACGCGTCGCTTATTATTTGGAAGAGCCTATCCCCGTTGAATTCTAGGTAGTGGTATCTTATATAGTATAGGAATAGCAGCACTTATTAAGCCCTTTTAAGGTAGTTAGAGGAGGGGTTAACGTTATATTAGGAAAGCTTCGAGTAGGCGAACGCGATATCGGGTCTTATCACGATAGCGGTGTATAGGATAGAACCGATTATTCTCTGATACTAATAGACCTCGGGAATCAACGCGCGGGTGCTATCTCGGGGCATTACCGGCTCTATAGATAATAGGACCTTTAGTGGTTTTTAGTAGAGTATATCTACGTAGTATTTAACCGCGATCTTCTCTATATAGGAGGATTATAATAGCTATAACCTACGGGTGGCTATATCCCTTAGGACCTTAATTCCCAGGAACTAACGGATTTCTTCGCCTCCTAATAACCTATAGCTTTATTTAAGGGCAGCCTTAAGATTATCGGCGTCCGTCTTACGGTTTTTATAGTATATAAGTCCGATATCGTTAACGTAGAAGAATAGGATTAAACCGTCGCGGATTATAATATAGGGGTTATTAGGGACGGTTATAAAGCCTATCCTGTATAGCGTGCCGCTAAATTCCTCTTACTATAGTAGTGGCGATACTCTTAAACGGAAGAGGGCTTTCCGTAGTAGTAGGACCTTACCTAGTACTTTATAGCCTTACGGTATCTTTATAAACACCTCTTCTTTAAGACTAGCGTTAACGAACGCGTTAACGGTATCGAACTGCTTTATCTTTAGGTTAAATCGGGCGGTGATCGCTATAAGTATACGGAAGGACCGTAAGGCTAGCGTTATAGCGTAGTTATCTTTAGTCTCTAACTGTTTTTATTAATCCCCTCGGACTATAAGGCGTGCTTTACACTTAAGGAGGGTGCCCTTTTTATTAAATTTATAGGTATATACTTATCTATAGGCGAGGACTTATTACTTATTAGCCTGATTACTACCTACCTCCTACTAGTAGCCTATTTATCGGTGCCCCTTAAGGTATTCCCCCTTAGCCTATAACTACCGCTCCCGTAACGGATAAAGGCGTATATCGCGGTAGTGGTTTAGTAGAGGCGGGAGATCCTCGCGGGTTATATACGATAGCGATAGCGGCTAGGAGGTATAAGGGGAATCTATAGCACCGATATCGTTATCGTTAATAGCTTACTTCCTTATACGTGTGGGGTTATAAGTCCTGCTAGCGTTAAAGAACGCCTTCTAGGCGTTATTATTCTAGACCTTCTCGGTCGTGTATAGACTTATAATAGTTCTCGCGATAGATAGGCGCGTGGGTAATAGGCGCGCGGCCGACTAGAGTATAGCCGACGGGCACCCCCTAAGGGCACTTATAGCTGTCCGTTAGTGGTTATCGTATTCTTTCACCTTAGCGCCCCTAACTACCGCTAACGCTATAAGGAACACGCGCGCGCGATCTTTAGGGGATATTAAAGGCGTGGGAAACGGTTTAAACCTCGTAGTAGTAAACCGTGAAGTATCCGTAGTAATAGCGGTAGCCTCTCCTATAGTAATAGCGGTAGCGTCGGAGTTATAAGATTCTAAATCTATAGCCTAGTTATTAGGCTATAGATTTAGAACCTTATCTATAGTAATAGTAGTGGCCTCTCTCGTAGTAATAGTAACGGCCTCGCCTTTATCCGTAGTAATAGCGGTGGCGTCGCCTTTACCCGTAGTAATAGCGGTGGTATAGTCTTCTTCTATAGTAATAGTAATATCCGTAGTAATAGCGGTGTCCGTAGTAATAGCGGTATAGTCTATAGTAATAGTAGTAGCCTCTCTTATAGTAATAGTAACGGCCTTACCTTTATCCGTAGTAATAGCGGTAGCGTAAAAGTCTTCCGACTTAAGATCTAATACGTCTATAGCTATACCCCTTAATAGTAGCCTAT